GAGATCCACCTCTGGCGGCGGCTCTGTCCTTATTTGTCGTAAGTGTCCAAGACAAAGGCCAAAGAACGTATGAGGAACATGCATTTTTAATGTGACATCCTCATCAGAATCCCCACAGTGGGCTGAGCAGAATGCCAATGACACTTTATTCTCCCTCAAATTACAGAGACCACAAAAATGCATCCAATGTGACAAATCTCCTGTGAACTTTTATGTTTGATGGGAAAAACCATGTTTTTTTTTTCAAAAAGGTATTAAAAGGCATTCATCAGAGGAGCAGGAGAGAGAGAGATGATCAGGTTAATGTCAGAGCTGTGTTATCAGGTCTTCGCAACTCCTGCGACAAGAAAGATGTCCTCACTGATAGAGAATAATATGAGATATACGCGAGCACTAAATCACAATTACTGCTCACATTATTTATACAGCGTGACATCCTGGAGAACGCTTATTTAACCAGACTTGCCTTTATCTTCTCGGGAATGTGCTGACCATTAGTCTGTGCCTATTTAACAGCACTAAAATGTCACGGGAGACTGAGAGATAGTCGGACTCAGTGCCACGTTCGGAGGAAAGAATGTAAATAATTCTGAACTATCGCTTTCATTTCTGATGCTTTTTCCTCTTCTTTTTTTCCCCTGTGGTTTGCCCACACTCCCATCATTATAATGAGGGAGGCTCAATTAGACAAGGTCTACAATAGGGGTTTTAAATGTCACAGTGCAGGTCCTGACATTTCTCTGTTTGATATGGAATCAGAATGGGAGTGAAGTTCACACACAGAACTAATCTCAAGCTCTGAAATAACAAATTCCACCCTGTCACAAAGCTCCATGGGAAGGCCGCCGTGGTCACTTTGGAGACATTTACACCGAGCGGGCTAGCATGGTGCTCTCAGAGCCTTCTAATGATGGAATCCATTAGCATTGTTTAGGAGGTTGTAATTAGCCGACCGAGGTTAGCGTGTTCATGAGGAGTGCACAACCAGGGGTCTTGTGGTATTTTATATGAACGGTAATTGGGTTGCTGAATCAAAAATGGCTTTAAAACGACTAACTCCACTGTAATCGAAGTGACTACCATTATTTGAGGGGAGTTTTTTCTTGTGGTGCCGTGCATAACTCAAAGCACTCAAACCATCTCTATACGATGAAAAGGTCTTTGCTGCAAAACTCAGAAATCCTTAAAATGCTTAAACTGTTTCAGCTAAAAAGCCAACTTGGGTAAGCAGACAGAAAAAATAATGGTGCAAATAGATTTCAAATTATGAAAAATATTATGAAAATAATATTTTAATAATTCTGCTGAATCAAATTTGTAACATGAAATGGTTGTATAGACGTTTTAAGTATCTGTTTGTTTTCCTGGCAATAGGGGCAGTACATACCTAAACCATTGCAAGCAATATGTTAAGTAAAACCTTACCAACTGAGGGCCATCAGGGTCAAAAATCCACGGGTGCACAATTTTTGAATTCAATTTTTGAACAAAAATACTTTGTCAGATTGTTCATCACTGGAAACAAGTGAAGAGGTAAATGTGTAAAACAACGTTTACGAATGGTGAAAGTTTTGTAACCGCTTGTTACAAACTAGTGAAGCGTTTTGTCCTCGCGGGCTCACATAGAAGAAAACATCACGTGAAATTTAAAGATTTAGACACGCTCCCATTTAGACAAGAGTTTTATGTTTATATGTTACAAAGCTGCCAATATCTTTCAACAACCGGGCATCATTTAATTCATTTTCAACAACAATTCTTTCGATATTTCCAGAGATTATTGGTAAAAACTACATATTGTCACCAACATGACAATCACGTTAACCGCTGTGATATTTTTTCATTTTTTTTTCCTATTTTCCTATGTAGGTCTGCTAAGAAAAAAGTTTCTTCTTGATTTAGCAGATATTGAAGATTATCAAACAAAATATTTGTACCACTGGAGAAAACCACTATAAATCTGGCCATGTGGTAAGTAGCAGCTACGCCAGGGGAGAAGATATTCTGCAATGACATCATAAATGCAACGTCTGACTTGTTGTCATTTTATTTTAAATGTTTTACAAGCTAATAAATCTCAAATTACATGACAGACATGGTGGAAACAAACATGTATTTATTATTTAAATTGAAGTACAGCACATGTGTGATTCAGGTTGTAAGGCAAAGCGGATTAGAAAATAACTTCTAACCCTCCCACTGTCCTAATGGGTGTGACCCTGCGAGGAAAGTTGACCATTGAGCAGGGTTGATGGTTTATCCCTTGGGTCCACGTGGCAGGGGTGAGGAGTGAGTACCACCTCACCCCTGCCACGTGGACCTCAAAGGATAAATCATCAGTCCTGCTCAATGGTCAGCTTTCCTCGTGGGGTCACACCCATAAAGACAGTGGGAGGGTTAAAACCCCATTCACTTACCGTATTTTCCGGAGTGTAAGTCGCACCAGCCATAAAATGTAAGGTATAATGAAGAAGAAAAAAAAACATGTCGCATTGGACTAAGTCGCATTTTGGGGGGGAAATTTTTATTATTTTTCTTGCAAAGTCTGAGACCAAGCATTTCACATTGCACGTCAAGTACCAGTAACAATAACAGAATAAACAGGGCGCAGCAGCGCACCAATGTTTCCAGCAGAGGATGGCTGTATTTCAAACCCTCCCAGCGGGTGGGGAGAGCTCATTCCTGGGCCGGAGCTGGCCTGTAGCACCCCGCCACAGGCTGCAGCAGGTGATGGCAGGGCAGAGGAGCTGAAACCTGGACCGAAGCCGGCCCACAGCAGCGCGCCACGGTCTCCAGCAGGTGATGGCGGAGCAGAGGAGCTTATTCCTGGTCAGGAGCCGGTCCACAGCAGCGCGGTATACATAATTTAGTATATAAGTCGCTCCTGAGTATAAATCTCAGGACAAGCCAGACTATGAAAAAAAGTGTGACTTATAGTCCGGAAAATACAGTAAATACTGACCAGAAGGGGAGGGCATTTAGGCTCCCTATATCTTCATATACCTCAACCATGTCTGGATGATTGGGTTAATATCAAATATTTTCTCTGTAAAATTAATATTAAAATTTACTATATGTATGTAAAAATGCCTTACATAACATCTAGGCAATGAATGGTTCTGTACTTGGACTCAGTTCTCACTGTTCAAAGTGAAGATCCATTCAAAAGGTTTGATTTGTTAGTGAACTTCACTCACATAATTTAAACTTGTTGGCTCTCAGTAGCTACATTTACATGGTCACAAATAACAGGAATGAACGCCCTATCAGATCAAAAATTGTTCATGTAAACACAATCGGAATATTCTTATCCGATACAGCCTGATCGGAATGAAATTTCCTTCCGATTAAGAGATGGTTTTGTCCGATCATCATTCCAGTTGACGTCTATGTACATGTACAAAGCTAGAGAATAAGAAAAGAAAATGTGAGTGAAAAGACGTGCGGACAAGACGGTGTTTGGTTACTGTTTCTTTTTTCCAGGAAAGACAACTCTGTGCACGCTCAGCCTATTTAATCTGACTGAATGCTTGGTGCCTTTATACTCACGGCATGATCGGATCATTTCAGTTTGCGTCCATGTAAACAGAGATTTGGTATTTCCGATCAACCAAGATTTGAATCAGGTTGGGGAAATTTGGCGCAGTTACAGTAAACATAGCTACTGTGAAGTTGTTGAATTAACCAATATTTAGTCATCAGCTTTGATCTTGTTGGTTATAGTTTCTGTTATACAAACAAACTCAAAGAAACAGACACTATACTGAATTAAATTCATTTGGGTCTAAAAGGTTTGATTTATTTTGGGTATATTCCCCAAAATCTAACGACAATATAATAGTTAGGGACACGCCTTTGACCTAAAGATTAGGTCACACTATAACTGCTAGTGAAGGGACGTTTTTAAAGGGAGATGGATCTTTTGCTGCTATGCTGAAGAATTTTTTTTTAAATATTAAATCGGTTTCTGAATGTCACATCACTAATAACTACTCCATTATCAAGTCATTTTACTTCTGTGTTGTTTTTTCCCTCCATTTTTAAATTAATTTCAAAGGTTTTTTTTTAGTGTGGGCCCAATAAAGTAAAACATTTTTCTTAATCTCTGAATTCTTTGTCATCCCTAAACCTTCCGTTACAATATAGATTTTTATTCAGCACCCCCCACCACCACCTTTAGGTTGGAAGCACCAATGTTGAAATTCCAAAATGAAAATTAGCATAAGAACAGGAGCACGTTTCAATACTCGTAAATTGTAAGTTAGAACATCTTGATGTTCAGCAAAAGGGAAGAAAAAAGGCAGATCATTCAATACAGTGATGGAAAAATAGTGATATAAGGAAATGTAATAGCAGGGTGTCAGAATCCTCTGGTACAAGGACAGTAAAAGGCTCGCATTCAAATTCAGAATGTAACCCTGAAGGCAGAAAGATTCAAGATGGATGAAAAAGACGAAGGCATGCAAGATTCAGAAGCAGCACTGTCATTAGATGAAGTGGCGTTTCCAATTTCCGTAAAAAAAGAAAGGAAAAAAAAAACATGATTAGTAAACCGTTATACTATCTGGCTCCAAACGGTGATTTGGTGTGCAGTCAGGTTGGCTTTGCTTACCACTTTAATTCAGATCATGTCAAAACTGGAGAAATCTGAAGGACAAACAAATCTTTTGAGTTATTTTGCAACTCCTCGAGTCAGGGGGGTCACTATTTAAATAAGACCAAACCAGGAATCGGGAACAGCATGCTCTCTCCACATGAATGTCAAAAACAGGCTGTTGCTGTCTTATCACTTGCAATAAATGATGACCTTACAGTGGATGGATTACCATCTGCTCAGAGCTCCAGCGTCACTCTATAGGCAAAGGATTGTTCACAAAGATGCAGGAAAAAACACGGATAGAAAATCATTTGTAAGTCTGAACTGTGACTAGTGGAATGGCGAAGAAGGCCCCAAGTGTTCTGCAGCATTCAGATGTGAGCACGGACAATAGAGCCTGTTTGTTCTTCCCCAGAAAGTTTCGCTGGACGACAAAAAAGAAGGAAAAGGGGAGGTGGTGGGTGGAGGGGATTACACATCACATTGTGGGTTTGCTTCTGCTTTGTGGTTGGATGAATTGCTGTTCAGTACCAGGATATTTAGTTTGCTAGTGTTTCTTCACACTGCAAGGATCACAGCTGCAGGAAGATCACGGCAAGTGGCTTCTGGGACTGACGAAACAGGTGGGTGTGGTGTTTGTTACGTTTGTTTTTTAAATTATTATGTAAAGACTAGTAGCACAAACGCAAGGATAGCGTTTGATCAGTCTGAAGAAACATAACCTATTTAATAAGTCATCCAAAAATCTGAATTTTTTAAAAATTTCTAACAAATAATCTGACATTTTTGCCAACTCAAAAACTCTTTGAGGATTGTAAACATCACAGTTAGTGAGATCAGATGGGAAAAACTAAGGCATTATTGTTTAATGCTGCATTCACTGAACCTTGGAAATTTAAGCATACACTTTATATTATTTGTTTTTGCACTACTGGCACCAACTCTTTATTAAAAAACAACCTTTCTACTGAATTTAGATCTAAAACAGCACATTTTCGTCATTTTGGGTAGAAATAATAAAGTTACAGGGGAGAGGGGAAAGCTTCCAGAAATTCCTGAAAGTTAGTGTTTTTTTTAAATGCTTTATTCCATATTCCAATTGTCTCTTTACCAAGGTAATTTAGTCCATCATTAAACAAAGGATCCCTTTAATAATGTTCCTGATATTTTTAAGTGTTCCTGATTAGGACGTGGGGCTCAGGACTGCTTAGTAATGCATTACATAATAGCAATAGGCAGTTTTTAATAGTTTATTAATGCTTAATAATGCACAAAGTAACGTTAACAAAGGCACCCTTATTGGAAGCGTTAACATTTTTTTTAAATAAAATGCTTGATATCTTAACTGAAGTTGTTTACAATGCAACCACAACAGTTTCTCTGAAATAATGGAGTTAAATGATCATTGTGACCAAATAAAAACTATTCCTGGACGTGTGAATCATCACTACTTAAAAGTGCTAGAACCAGATTTTGGTAGAAGAACAGGAATGTTTAAAAATGTATAAATAAATTCCAAAAATTTAGAGGATATTCTCATATTAATGCACGTCCTCCATATATTTACCACTTACACACATAAAAAATTAATCTCAATGCCTTTTTGGTAAATTAATGATTCATCATAAATACATTTTGTCCTTGTTTTCATGCGCTTATGTTGAAGTTTTCTTTCAGGTGTTTACTGACCTTAATCCTGGAAGTTTTTCCTTTTTTTTCTCAGATTCAGTAAAATTGCATTTTAAGGGGGAACGCAGCTCTATTGCTTATTATTATTATTATCAGTAATATTACTGACATTTTAAGATTTTCTTAAAATTCTCCTGAAGTCTGTTTTTCCACCTCTAAAGTTTTTAAACAGCACAAATAATTTCACAACAGGTTCTTGAAATACATCCCATTGCCCGTGTTTTACTTGGTAAGAATTTTTAGTGATAAATTATCATTTAATCACTATAATTAGATGCTTTTCAGTTTTAATATCAGAAATGTCTGTTCTCGACTTCTTCAAAACACAAACTGAGGCAAATAACAGGCAGTGATGCTGATGTGTATTAATGTCAGCAGAAATTCGTGACATTTCACGAAGCAGAAATGATTACCTCTTATGTTCGTAATAAAAATCAAACAAATTACTTACAAACAAGTACACAGTGCCTTGACATTCCCCTGTTGTTCCGGCTCAACCGTGAGGATCATCTGAGACCCTGAATTAGGAAACCTAATCTGCATGTCAGAGTTATTGTTTCACCAAGCTGAACAGCAAAGTCCCCCGAAACACTCCCACGTGACCAATTAAGGACACGTTGTCTTAGGAGCTGGATCGTAAAAGAAGCGAGGCTTTGCAGATGTGGATTTCTCCAACATTTGAATTGATGGGATTAAATAAAAGGTCTGGAACTATATTTGCAGTGCTGTAAAACGAAACTTCAGTTTCAGGTTTATAACTGCAGCTGAGTGTTTGTGATAACCGGCACTGAGTTGATCATCACTGGAGAGATTTCTCCCACTGCTGTTTAATTTATTCACATTGGAGGGTTTACCAGCATGAATCGACTGTTGAAGAAGGCTGAAGAACAGAATTCTTGGTTTCAACAATTACAGCAAGTGATCCAGGTCCTGCAGCAACAAAGCAGCACCACACCATCACACTTCTGCCACCATGCTCCAAAGTTAAAGTCGTATTTCTCAAATGCAGCGTCGTGCTTTTGATTTGTTAACCCACAGAACACGATCCAAGAAGTCTATGGGTTCATCAAGATAGTAACTCAAAACAATAAATGATAAATGCCGCATGCACACATTAACACTCTGGTGATGATGAGCTACAACGTAGCCACAGCTGCCCTTGGGGAACACTGAAATAGGCAAGGCCATGCACAAGCTCCACTAGTTCCTCCAACCACCACCAGCAGGCAAGGAGGAGGAAGTGTTGCCGATTTTTTTTTTTCTATTGTTAAATCATGATCTCTGACCCTAACACAGTCAGGCCTGCAGAGCTGTGTTGTTTCGGGCTCAATAAATATTGTTATAACAGCTTTGGCCAGAAGAGGTTGTGGCCTGTAATCTTGAGCCTGGACCAAATGAACAGAGGTGCTGCAAGGTTGTCATGGAACCCCAAGCAGGTTGCCAGGGGTTGGGTGGGGTGTGTGGATGTTGGCGGCCTGATTCTCTGCTGGAAAGTCTAACTGCTGCTGTGGTTCTGACTTCAAAGGAAGTAGACCCGCTGGCCCCCCCTTATGGCCTGGGGCCCAAAGCGATTTCCTGCCATGCCTGTCGATGCACAGCGCCCCTGCAAGTGAGGCCTGCAACACTTTAGATCTTTGGGTTGTTTATTTGTTAAAATATTTAGAACAGGTAATGGTGTGTTGCTTTTTGATATATTCTAGCATGTTACTCACTAGAAACAACCTGTACAAGTAATTTCTTGTTTCTGCAGTAATATAATTCGTAGGGCATAAAGTTTTTCACACGGGTGCAGGTTTGGTTCAGAGGCTTGTTTTCCAATCGAAATGAGAAAAAAAATGAAATCATCATTTGAAAAGTGCATTCTGTATTTACTCCATTAATCTTGGTTTTATATTAAAATTTGTTTTCTGATCTCAAACATTTAGGTATAAATCTGTCCGGGTTCTTTTACTTATAAAACAAAACACAGAATTTTACAAACTGCATAATTAGATTCTTTAGAGCATCATTATTTTAGAAGAAGTTACGTAAATTTTGAGTCAGCCTTGTGGACTAATATGGCCACGTCACCTTCGATGTTGAGCGAGAGCTTCTTTATTCATCTCTGCTTCCTTTGTGTTGGCGCATTAGATGCCTTTTAATAGCATCATGGATCTATTCCTACAAAAGAGCTGCATTTTATTAGCAAGTAGAAAAATGATGGGACAGTCTCAGCGCATCTAGTGCTTAACATTGTGAGACTGCAGCTCATTGTCATTCTGTCATGTGGTAGAGCGGCGCTCCGAACATCTCAGCTACACGAGGCTGGCTGGAGATGGGGGGGCCTATTAGAGATAATGAATGGCTGTCAAGCACAGGCCACTCTGCATGTACCACATGTCATGTACGATGAGAATTTCTTTTTGAAAGTTAAATTTACCACGGAGGGAAATGAATCTTCATATTTTTAGTTTCTCCCCTTCTTCGCCTCCCTTCTCTAAGATGCATGTAGGAGATTTTATCCAGCAAATTTACTTTTTCTTTTGAGTTTGGCAGAACCAGTTATTAAGTGCTAGCTGCCACACACACATGCACACTTTTTCCTTGCAGCAAAACACATTTTTGTCTGCATTTCCTTTACTTATCCACATTTTCGTCACTCGTCCCAAAAAATTCACCGTCTTGTTAAGTTGACAACTGAACATCTGTTGACCTGAGAACAGTTTCAGCCTCATTCTACAAGCCAAAATCCCCAGAAGGATTTCCAGGCAAATTCCTTGGCACGTCGGCCGAGTAAACAACATCGAGAGCTGTTTTCGGAGTTTTGGCTCAAGGCGCTCACAACGTGGGCACATTCTCGCCGGTCCAATGAAAGACAACATCAGCTCACGATTCACTGGCCACTAATTGGAGTGTCACTCCACAATGTTTTGGAGATACGAATGCGGCCCTGTAAAGACGTGCTTTGGCACAAACGGATATTCGTGTTCTGTATCGAAGTGTAATTTAAGGCATAGATCCTGGATCAGTAATTGATTTTACCAGCTCATTACAAATGAATCTTGACAGTTAATTTACTTTTACAAGATTAAATATGATCATTATGAAGTGTTAAGGCATTTATATGGCAGACGAGCATTGGAAAATGGCACACACTTATGCTGCTGTGATACAATGTACTCACTGGTGGGTGAGTACATGTTGTCTGCTGATGTCACATGAACAACAACCTCAATAATGTTGGTTAGAATCACTGTCATTTTGATTTCCAGCTCTTAATGATGCTTGGGCAATTTTTTCCAACACAGCTACATGTAATTTTGTTTGTTTATAGGGAAATTGTAATACTTGTACAGAGGGTATTGCTGTTTATTTCAACCTTTAGAGTACTAGAACATGCCAAAACTTGCTTACTGTGTAGTTCTTGAATGTGTCTCTAAAGTGTTGTCGTGGCTTTAGGTTTTGGTGTTTCATTTTAATATTTGTTTGATTTCAGATATTTTATTGGTTTATGTCAACTTCAAATTAATTCTCAGCATCAAATCACTGCTGTAGCCTCTTCGCTTGGTAACAGTGATCACAACAATAAAACTGTACACATATGCATTTTTAGTAAGGATGTTGCATTTAGGGTGCAAGATTGGTCACAGCTTCCCTTTTCTTTACAGAAACACACATTTACATACAATAATGTCACGCGAAGGCTCTAAAACTTATAGCAACAACTCGGATAACAAAAGAAACTTTTAATTATTGTTATTAAACAACCTGGATTTGTTCCTACCCTCACCTATGGTCATGAGCTTTGGGTAGTGACAGAAAAAGCGAGATTGCAGATACAAGAGGCCGAAATAAGTTTTCTCCGAAGAGTGGCTGGGCTCTCCCTTAGAGATAGGGTGAGAAGCTCAGTCATCCAGGAGGGGCTCGGAGTAGATTTGCTGCTCCTCCACATTGAGAGGAGTCAGTTGAGGTGGCTCGGGTATCTGGTCAGGATGCCTCCTGGACACCTCCCTGGTGAGGTTTTCAGGGCACGTCCAACTGAGAGGAGGCCTAAAGGTAGACCCAGGACACGGTGGAGGGACTATGTCTTTCACCTGGCCAGGGAACGCCTTGGGATTCCCCCGGAAGAGCTGGCCAAAGTCGCTGGGGAGAGGGAAGTCTGGGCCTCTCGACGTAGGTACTGCCCCCACGACCCGACTCCGGATAAGCAGATGAAAATGAAGGGATGGATGGATGGATGGAACCTAGATTTGTCTTAAAAATTTTGGTAGCTGCTATAGAGGATCTGCAAAACAAGCTCGGTTTTGAACGTAAACACGACCAAAGGAACACTCACCTCTCCCACTGGGTATCTTCCCTTGAGACGCTTCCGCTGGAATCGGAAACCCGAGATGCCGGAGGACACAAGATGACGCTAAACACCAGTCATCATTTCTAGGTCCAAACATCTTTTGTTGTCCATGATTTGAAATGGTGTTTTTCTTTTTTGGACTCTGGTAGTTTGTCCCAACGTTGAAGTGGTAGCAGCCTTTTTTGATATTATTGTTTGGATAACCTCTCACACTAATGGTGTTCAGTTGCTAAATATGTGAGTGTGTAATGTGTGGAGGACCCAGGGAAGTGCGGCGGTTTGGCGAGACCAACAACTAAATGGTCCAATAGTTGCTAGCAAAAAGAGAACCACTTAATTCTTTTTTTTTGTCCTCAATTTTATTTATAGCTATACTATGTTGGAATGTTGTTAAGAGGCATAAAAAATGTTTGAAGCCAATTTTTTTGCAGCTTTCAGGTCAAGCTTGCTTACTAATGACACTCCTTTAATATCTTGCAGACCTCTGTCAAGATCACAGATTCACCTTCATCTGAGTCCAGCTCAGCCTTCTCAGCTGGGGACATGACACGAGCTTAAAGGGATACTTAGCAGTTTTGACTGGCTTTTAGCACCCGCTAAGGTCCATTTGTCCACGCAAAAGTTAAACGCATCTCCTCGCTCTCTGTTTGTATTTTTGTCACCTGAATCTAACAGCTGGAACGTCTTCTCAGCCTTTGTTAGTGTCTACAAGAGTAGTTCATCACTAAATCAAACAAGCGAGCTGTGTTCATGATCTAAAACATGCAAAAAACATGCTGGAAGCAGACTGCAGCGCCAGGTATGTCAGCTCCATTTTTTCTAAGTCCGTAGAGATCGGACCGGGCACTCTGACGTTGAAAGTGTGATATTCTGGACACAGCGGGCAGTGGGGGTCTGAGTGACATTTCATTAACCCTCAAAAGGGTCACTTTAGCACACGTTGGCTCAAGAAAAGGAATTAAAAATATGAAAAAGTCTTTTTCTGCAGGTTCTGCAGACCTTAGAGGCTAAAGCTTGGTTCATGCTTGACGCATTCGCTTTCCGCTTGGTGATGCGGCTCGCGGATGGAACGCGCTTCACAACTCGCAGCGTTTATGGTTCATGCGGCTTGTCTCTAAGGTGAGCCAATATTCTCCCAAACTGAACAGGGCAGCATGGAGCTCTATGGCATGCATCCAACACTACACCATATTAGAAGTAGAAATTACTGTTTACAACATGGCATTCCAGCATTTTTTAACAGCATCCTCGTCTTTTCCGACAGTGCGAGCTATTTCTCTCCAAGAATTATTAACAACATGTTGATCACGGTGATCTTTGAGAGCTGAATCATACAAATGTCTGTATTTACGAACCTCTGCCATACTAGTTCTTGCTGGTCCGCCATGTTTTTCCGCGTCCGGCCGCCCGCGTGGTTAGAAAATTTCCTAGGTGCGCGGTGCGGAAATTTTGTGCCATGCGGAGGTGCGTTGGAGGGGCGTGGTTGTTAAAATGACGCAATTTCGCCGTGCGGACCTCGCAGACGTGTCAAGCATAAACCAACCTTAAGTTACCCATCCCATCGGCTGTGTCAAGAGACCCCTAAGACAGCCAAGTCCTAATAGTGTTGACTTTGATGGTTTACCTCACCACTGGTCCCCAAGCTCATATCCTCTAGTTACGTTAACAACAAACGCCATCTGAAGTTCTGGCCGCGGCTCCTTCATCGTTCATAATAGAGAATAGATGAGCACCGTAGATGGCTGCTCTTGCTGGAGGAAACAGGATACCCCACCCCCCCACCCCCCCGCACCTTCCTATTGGAGTCTCATGTCATGTTGTGTTGTCTGAAGTCTGTTGCATATCTGTTGAGGTGTTTTTTATTTTTATTTTTATTTTTTGCAGAGCAAAGCTGCCCTCCTGGTGGGAGGGTAACTCTGAAGTGCCTTTTTTCCCTCCACCTCAACCAATCCTCATGTAACCCTCTTATCTCTATTAAGGTAGTGCGACTCGGGTTGCGAATGCCCACAGTCACCAATTCACCACCAAATGTGTCTTGCCCATGTATGTCTGATCTCTGAATTGTGTGTACTGAAACTCTAATTTCCCTCTGGGATTAATGAAGGATTGATTGATTGATTGATTGATTGATTGATTGATTGATTGATTGATTGATCGTTCATAATAGAGGGCCTCTTGGTTCATTCCAATTCCATGTCTCCATCAACCTCATGGAGCTTTTGGCTATATGGCAGCACAGCTGGTAGCACCGTTGCCTTGCAGCAAGTAGTTTGCATATTCAAATACAGGCTGCAGCCTGTCTGCGCAGAGTTAGCATGTTCCATTTATGCTTAGGTTTTCTCCAGTTACTCTGGTTTACTCCCACAGGCCAAAACCACACATATGAGGAACGTGTAGGTGGCTAGAATTGACTTTAACTGAATAAGCATGAACAGGTGTGTTACAAAGCTCATGGATGGGAGCCTCTGGGAAGTTATTGACTTTCTGTCCACCTTTATTTTTCATTTGAGGCTGTCCAGCTTTTGTCCTAACCATCAGATATGTAGCAATGGTGGTGTTGGGTTGTAGGTTTGAGCCCCACTCAATCTGTTGCAGTCGTGTCTTTGGGCAAGACACTTCACCCTCCTTGCCTGCTAATGGTAGTTGGAGGTACAGCTGGTGCCTGTGTGTGCCAGCCTCACATCTGTCAGTGAGCCTCAGAGCAGCTGTGGCTGCAATGTAGCTCATCACCACCAGAGTGTAAATCCGTGTGTGTGTGAGTGAATGACTGCTGTAACGTGCCTTGGGGAGAGCTCTGGAACCATAGAAGACACTATATTAATTAGTGATGTGTATTGAAGTTCTGGCGATGTGATACGTATCACGGTACGGGGGAAACTATGCAATATATCATGATATATTGCAAAACATTCATCCAGACGATATTAGCAATTTTTGTAGACTGAAATTATTGTAGGAAAATTCAATAAACGGTCCAAACTGATATGTAACATGTTTAACATGAGGTATCTGAACCATAATAGAGGGATTTACATTTCAGTGGAAACAAAATGCACTGTACGCTGCTGACAAATAGCGGTCGGTGTTTGAATTGCAACGAAAGAAAAGAAAATACAGATGTTTGCATGTAAATTCTTCCAAAAAGTCTATACACAGCTTTTAAATATTGATATAATACCGCAGAAAGAAATCTTGCGATACATTGCCAAATCAATATTTTCTTACATCCCTAATATTAATACAGGCCAACTACCATTTACCATCACATCCAACTCACCAACAGGAAGTGGCAATTTGATGATTCCGCCTTTTCTCAGAGTATCCAAGTCCTACAACTAGCCTGATACATTACACCAACCCACCCTGCATCCATTCAGTCCAACATCTTCTAACAAGTAGAGGGCCTTTGCAGAGTGTAAAATACATTAAAGTAATTTCTCTAAACCTATTTGAGCTGACTGTACGAGGACCTTTAAAGTTTCTAATGATTTCAAGCAGTACTCGTAATCAGGGTAATACATATTGTAATTCTAGCCACTCGCAATCTAAAAAGATCATCCTTGGTGAAAAAAATGCTGGATTTGTGTCCTATTTAGACGTTTAAATAAATAAAAAGTATTGCATCTATGATAAATATACGTACATGAAGGTCTCACCAACCACACATGCACATCCCTTCCAAATGTGCTGCTTGTCTTGACTTTCATTGTCCTCACGCTCTTGACCCTGATCTTGCTGCACATTATAATTGGTGCATCGATTTGACTCAGTTTGTCAGCGCTCGGCGCACGTCTCTGTTTTCCGTGTCTGCCGAGACATTGATCTAATTAGAAGTCTTCATTAGTCAGCTGCAGAGTGCAGCGTCATCCTAAAGGAATGATGTTCTGGCTCTGCAACCCCCTCCCCAACACAATGCACGGCTTTGTCTAAATATAAAACAGCACTGTTTTCATCTGCCAAGCAAAAAAAAAAAAAAAAACAGAACCTTCAGGAAGTTCAGAGCTTTAGCGAGAGAAACATTTCCGTTCTGACTTTTTATAGAAAATTGTTGCACAAACGTGTTGTTCTGAGCTTGATTTGATGTCGCTGAATAATTCACAGGGATTCTACTTTAGTCTTTTATGCAAAGACTGCAAACTTTCCTTAAAAAAAGCTACAACAAACACAATGTTTTATGTTGCTACAATTATTGGGTTGCTACATTCGGTTAGCCTACCATAACAGTTCTGACTCAAGCCAAATTAATTACCAAACCTTATGAGAAAAAAATTATTGCTGTAAAAAAAAACAGCGTAATATTTCTTTCACCCTTGATTTTAGTTAGTATTGAGATGAATTTAGGTTTTTATAATCTTTGCGCACTACTGGAGGTTATTCAGCTAAAACACTAATTTAATTCTTAATTTTGTTTCAGAGCTATGAACATGCATACTAATGGCATGAGAAGGGATGTGTCACTGCCAGGATCGGGATTACTGTGGTGGTAAATGAAGAAAAAGTAACACTGGATTGGTGACATCAACGTCTACTGTCCACTAGCCATGGGGAGTGCACTGGAAATGCATGGATGGACTGGAAAAATGAGCTACCTGAGTGTTTTGGCTGTGATGATGGTCTTTTCTAGGGTTTCTGGTGGGCTGTTGAGTCATACGAGCCACCCACACAGTCTGAACAGCCAACAGTCGGGCCAGAGGTCCCTTTTGCACCATCGCCTGAGGAGGGGTTGGATCTGGAAAGAGCTGTTTGTCCCAGAGGAAGATCCCACTCCTCGTGTGATTGGCCAGGTGATAACTGGTGTAGAATGTCCACCATGCCCTTCAGATGGTGCTTTTCTCTTTGAGAATGAATGTTTCGTTTTAATTTAGAACAAACCAAAGCCATTGTCTCCTTTTCATTTACAGCTAAAATCGGATTATGACCGAGGAGAGTTTACCATCAAGTACATATTATCAGGAGAAGGTGCTGGAGATGTGTTTGAGATAGATGAGTATTCTGGCGAGATCCGGACGCTGAAGAAGCTGGATCGGGAGGAAAAGGCCTCCTACATCCTTCAAGCCCAGGCTATAAACAGGAACACCAACGAGCCCGAGGAGCCTCAGTCGGAGTTTATCATCAAGGTGCAGGACATCAACGACAACAGCCCTCAGTTCCAGAACGAACCGTATGTGTCCAGCATCCCCGAGATGAGTCCAGTCGGTATGTTGATAACATGCACCATGCACCACGGAAACAACTGGATTTTCTTGTTTTCCTTGAAGACGTTTCAATCTCATCTAAGGAGCATCTTCAGTAGAAATAAAACGCTTATAAATTACAAACATGCTGATAGGACAACAGGAGTCACTGGTGAGGCCATTGGTATTACTAGTAGTCCCTGGCCCCTCCCTCTATTCAGTACTTGTTTGCGTCATTAGTGCCAATATACAAAAATACATCAATGCATACAACTGAATCAGTTAAACATACTTGGGGCAACGGTGGCACAGGAGTTTAGTGCTCGCCCCGCAATCAGAAGGTTGCAGGTTCAAGCCCCACTCAGTCTGTGGCTGTCATTTTGTCATTGGGCAAGACACTTAACCCACGTTGCCTTCTGGTGGTGGTCAGAGGGACCGGTGGCGCCAGTGCTCAGCAGCCTCGCCTCTGTCACTGCGCCCCAGGGCAGCTGTGGCTACGTCGTAGCTCATCCTCACCCGTGTGTGAATGTGTGTGTGAATGGGTAAATGACTGATTGTGTTGTAAAGCGCCTTGGGGGGTTCCAGGACTCTACAAGGTGCTATATCAAATTCAGGCCATTTACCATTTGTAAGAGACATGGCTTCACTTTTTAAAGCTGGATCAGCTTTTGAAGCCATACACAACCTAACAGACGATTTCCATATCAATTAATGTCCTTAAAACTGGATAGAAAATGAATAAATGCAACTTGAGTGTCATCATAGTCACATCGCAAAAGCAATGAACTTGAATTATTTAGATGAAATTTAAGCTTCCTTGAACTTCACAAACTTCTGCCCATCCTCAAGAGTACGCTCCAGTGAGACAAACGTTTCACCATATTTTGGAAACTAGTGAACGTTGTTAACCCTAACCCTTTTTTTACCAAATCTCATCCAACCAAGATTTAAATAAAATTCATACATTAAGCAAATCCAGCAAAACCTTCTCAGTGGCCTAGTGGTAGGGTGTCCACCCTGGGACTGGTAGATCCAATCTGGTCAAGGTCATGCCAAAGACTTAAAAAATGGGACCCAACGTCTCCCTGATTGACACTCAGCTTTAAGGGGCAGGATTAGGGGATTAAATCAACAGATAGTTCCTGAGCGCAGCCACTGCTGCAGCACACCGCTCCCCCAGGGCACGAGTCAAATGAAGAGAAGTCAGTTTACCACTGACTTTAAATAAACCAACACCTACTAAAGTTTGTTGTTTAGCCACGGGTGCAGGATGACTCTCCCAGTGCATGACATAGAATTTAAAGGCACACTTGGCAGTTTTGCTTGCTTTTAGTGCCCCCTAGCATCCATTATCAATTCTGTGGTTGAACAAAAATGAAACCTATCTCCTCGCTGTGCGTTCCTCTGACCCCTCCTTTCCACCGGAGCCGTCAGCAGCAAGTTACTGCAGCAGCACGTCTTGCTCGCGTATGCTGCTGCTTGGCCCCGAGACGCAAAGCAGCAGGGGAGCAGCTGTCACCGACGGAGCACAAAGTCACGCGACATTAGCAAAATCACGCGTGACTTTGTCAGTAAACACAACAACAAGCAGGAGAAAACTACAAAAGAAATCACGTTAATAATTAGCATAAACTCTCCATCTTGCCCCAAAACCGCAGATACGTCACTCCATGCGTTATCCTTCTTGACGTTGTCTTTATAAAAACTGTGACTGGGATCAAACAGGATTGGGTACTTCTCCACTTTAGTAATCAACCTTTCGTCGTCCGTTATGGAAAAACAAAGGAGACCGCTAGCTAGGTGATAACTTTTTTTTAAAGTAAAGCAACTGGAAGGCAGTACGTTTCTTTGTTCTGAAAATCTCTGGAAGCTTCGCTCCATTTCCGCGTCCGATTTCCTGTCTTTCCTTCCCCAAAAATGTCAAACTTGACCCGTTTCAGAGGCGTAGCGCGTAGAAAATAGAACTGGCGCGTAAGGGCTGTGACATGCTGCTCCTGAGACGCGGCCGACTCCTGCTGCTGACGGCTCCGGTGGAAAAGGTTCTGTTGACCACAGCGGTTCCTATCAGCAGCTATGACGTGCTGCTGACGGCTCCGTCACGACTCCAGTGGAAAGGAGGGGTTAATCTTAACTTAATCTAACAGCTAAAACATCTCCACAGTGTCTACAGAAGTGATTCATCACTAAGTTAAACAAATCAGTTGTGTTTATGATCTAAAACATGCAGGAAACATGCTTGAACCAGACTGCAGCGCCAGATATGTCAACTACAAATTTATTTCTAAGTCCTGCCGGTCTGAAGTTGCAAATGCGGTATTCTGGCCACAGGGGGCAGTGGGGATCTGAGTGACCCTGGTCATTTTAGCACATGCTGGCTCAAGAAAATCATTTAAAAATAGAAAAATGATGGGAAAATATGGTTTATTCTAAAGCAAAAATAATGATGAAAGGAAAACCTCTCGATTAAACTGAATTTCATTTTTGAGCCAGCTGAGGTGGCTCGGGCATCTGCTCAGGACGCCTCCCTGGTGAGGTTTTCTGGGCACGTCCAACCAGGAGGAGACTCAAAGGAAGACCCAGGACACACTGAAGAGAATATGTCCATGAGCTGGCCAGGGAATGTCTTGGATTTCCCTCGGAGGAGCTAGCCCAAGTGGCTGGGGAGAGGAAAGTCTGAGCCTCCCTGCTTAGGCTGCTGCCCCCGCAACCAGAGCCTGGACAAACGGAGGAAAATGGATGGACTTTTGGGTGCAGAACCATCCGGCCTTTTCATGATGAAATATATTTCTTTATACAAATGAAAGTAATTTCCAACTTACCGTTATTAATTTAACTATAAAATGTTTTTTTTAAAGAGTTCACTGCTTGTTGGCTGCAACTGGAATGACAACGACGATCTACTTTTGCACCACCTTGACAAGAAAATGTTCTAAATTAATCCCCAACTGAAGCCAACAAACAAAACTTTATATGAGTGTCTGTCATCTGCCCTTTTCAGGACATTAAAAGTATTAGATTCTGCATCGTGGCTCAGAGGCCTTTATTGAGAGATCTCTTAAATAACATTATTATAACTGCTGCCCTTTCATACCACAGACATTACCATTTCAATTTATACGTAATCTGCTTTTGCAGCATAATGTCTCACTCATAATAAATCATGATGTATTTGACTGCAGAGTGAAAGTTAGAAGGGAAGGTTGGAGTGAGGGCATCTGAAAATTAGGAACGCAGCGGTAAATCCCCGCCTGTGAATGAAAGACAGACCACTCACTTGGAAGAAAGAATGAGACAGGGAGGAGGTGAGAGGGAGATATGTTAGAAAGCAAGGTGAAGGCAAGGATATGGTCAGAATAGAGAAGGGAGTGTGGACGATGGAGGAATAAAACTGAATCAAGGAGAGAAAACGGGGGTGAGTGGATGGAAAAGTGTCGCCATGGGGCTGTAGAGGCTGCCACACAAACCTGCGCTAGCCTGCAAAAGGACAACACAGTTCCCCACCTCCATCTCTCCTTTGTCAACATCCCTCCTCTAACTCTCCCTCAGACTCGGCATCTTTGCTTTTCCATTTTTCCACCGCTCCCCCCGCCTCGCTCCTCTTCTGAGTCAGACAGACAGACCCTGCGGGACTGTGGCATAATCACTTTATTTCCCTGTCGACTGGAACTGCTGCCTGGGTGTACTCTGACTGTGCAATCCGCTCGCTGCCCCCACAGGGACCACAGTGGCCCAGGTGACAGCCACAGATGTGGATGATCCCATGTTCGGAAACAACGCCAAGCTCATCTACTCCATCCTGCAGGGGGAGCCCTACTTTTCCGTAGAGCCAAAGACAGGTACAATCTTGATCTGTGTATCCCTTTAGGTAACACAATTCTAGAATTACTGCTGGATGCACTCACCGGTCCCTTTTTAATGCACACCTGTCAAGATGCTTGTTAACACCAGCAGCTAACCAACCAATCACATGGCAGCAACTCAATGCATTTAAAATCCTAAAGTTGGTGAAGAGAACTGAATTTCAAACTAAGCATCATAGTTTAAAGGCATACTAAGAGCAATCAGGTGTGCTTTACCACCTCCTAGTGTCCGTTTTAATTAACTGTCGTAAAAACAAATCGCCGTACTCTCTCCCTAGCTGTGCGTTTGAGTTTTTAACACCTTAATCTAGCTGTTGAAATGTCTCGTCAGCCTTCACTGGTTTCTACAGGAGCAGTTCTATCTCTAACTGGTAGACGTACAGCAAAAAGCATGACTCCATCACAAAGACGGAACTCATACTAGCTATATGTACCTAATAATAAAGAGGGCAGTGAGTGTATAAACGGCCATTTCTTAAGATGTTGAGGCAGGAGAAATTATTCCATCAGATCAGTTGTTACTTTAAAACTTGGATTTCCAGTGCAGCCTTAGCTTTAAATACAGCTGTTGACAGATTTTGGTTCTTGTACAAGAACCGAAAAGTGATTCAACGTATGCCCAAGAATGTACCCTCTTCTCGTGTAATGCAGAGGTCAGCCACAGCACCTCCCACCCACATTGTAACTGAGCAGTGAAAGGCTGGAGGCATCATTGACGCTGGAAAAAAATATTTAGATGCAAATGGATGCATTGTGTAAAAAGTCAACTCCGACGTTTCAGAGAGCCCATTGTAAGTTTTTATTGAGGGGTAGGCAGCCTTTGACTGTAAACGTCTGAGTTGTTGTTTTGCTAATGGGCTAATGGCTTCAAACGACCTTAAACGATTCGTCTGGAGATGCTTCGTCTTCTTTTTCTATTTTTTACTGACAAAGTTTGGGAGAGCATAAAGTCTTAAACTTATATTTAAATAAACATTTGTTTTATATTGTGTGTTTATAAGGAGAATAGGGTTACCACTAGCAATTTTGGGGGCCATTTTAAGAACCTGCCCCTTAAATACATGAGGAAAAGCTTCTACTACTACTGTTATGTTCAAAATGAAGCTAAGAATGGTTTTCGATTAGTATTTTCATGCCATTAATGTCACATTTTAGCCTCATTCTGCATTTTTTAAGAAGTTAAAACTAAACTAAATGGAGAAATGATTGAGACAAGTTTCTAATAACCTTGAAATTGTGGTACCACACGGTAGCTTGGGGTTGCTACAATGACAAAATTTTGCCAAACAATTACTTAGCAACCCTGGTGATAAAGAATTCTGGCATTGCTCCTGCTTGAAAAAAAAAAACTTTCCTCACATGTTTTAAGTTGTTCAAAATTCCAGTGCCATAGAGCAATGTTCTGTGATTCATGAAGAACTTGAGACAGTTTTGAGACATTTCGGAAACTCCTTTGTTAATGCAGTTTGTGCCGTAAATCCTCTAATATTGGCCTGTATTAGAGGAATTACAACAATTTGGTTATTTAATTTATTCCTTACTGTCTAATACAGAATACACATTTGTTATTACTATTAAAGACGAAGTTCACTTAGAAATATTATTTCTTGCTATTTTATCTATTTTATATATGATCGGTCACTCTGAGTTCAACATGCAGGCTAAACGTGAAAATAGCATTCTACCCCCATTTTCTGCGTTAGCTGCTTATTGAAAATATACGAAGGAAAATAAAACATTCAGATTTGAGAAGCCAGTCAGATCTACATCACACTGAAAATTTACTCTCATGGACTCACCCATCTTGGCTTGCAACAGGAAGGCTGTTAAAGATTTAGTGACCAGGAAAGAGCAGAGCATGTCTTGGCTAGTAGGAGCTAACTCTTAGCATTAGCAACTTCACGACACAGCAAATCTCCAATCTTGTGTTATTTATAGAGATAAAATATCAACATTGAAGAGCAAGCAACGTCAGTGGTAGTGTTGCATTGCTGTTATCCAATCAGAGGCGGGATGTCCAAATATCAGGAAGTGAGACTCCAAATCCTGTGTTTTTATGCTCCCCACTCCTCTGGCTCAGTTCCTGAAACAGGAGCGCTAGAGCTTTTTTTTTTTCGACAGAGATCGACTCACAAGGCACTCATTCATGCTGGAGACCACTGAAAATGGGTTGAAAAATCAAGTGAAATTTGTCTTTAAAAATAAGCCAAATGCTTCAACACGATATTAACCCATTTGATATTTTGCGTTCAAATGGCTTATATAACATCATCGAGCATCGGTTCAGGATTTTGAGTTTGTTCTACTTCAGAACATTGATATTACTGTGAGCAGACAGGAACAGCTTTAAGTCATCTCAAAGTGCTGTTTAACTTTTAATTTGGAGCTGATTCATTTAGAGGACCTAAAGTTAGCTGTGGGTGGTCGTTGCTGTTAAAATAACTAAACTCCTCCTTTTCTCCTTCTTCCATTTTTTCTTCTTGCAGGGATTGTTCTAACGTCGTGGCCTAATATGGACCGTGAAGTCCAGGACGAGTACCTGGTGGTGGTTCAGGTGAAGGATATGCTGGGCCTGAGCGGCGGTTACTCCACCTCCACCACGGTTACCGTCAGCTTGACTGATGTCAACGACAACGGACCCACATTCCAGCAGCGTGAGTCGCTTTACATGACTCTGAGATGCAAACGCTAGGCTGAGCACAGGGGAATCAATAAAACGAGTACAAAGTGTTGCAGACGACCAGGACACATTTAATATTATACCTACAAGGTATTTATTTGATCACGCTCCTCCGGTTCGAGTGGGTGGCTCTTGCTTCCAGCGCTGCGTTCGACTGTGGAGCCAAAATTAAAAAGCAGACAGTCGAAGAATAAGTGTGAGAGCCAAAGGAAGCGGGAGAGGAGATGGTGACGCTCCGCTCATCTGCACATGCTCATGTGCCACATGCTGGATGAATTTAATCATTCACACATGAAAGGACATTTGTCATGACCTTTGGAAACAAACCGAGCCTTCTCAGCGATAAACCTCACTAAACGAATGCAGTGGGAAGAAATCAATTTTGTTGCAGAGAGACAGCGAGGATGAAGCTTTTAAGTGTTAATGCAACATTCACTTTCATTGCATGTGCCCGTATCCCGTTGTTCCCATGTTCACGGAAAATACCTAATGAATATTGGATGGCTGCACTTCACTTTGAACTGGGCCCTCTGCTTTGTCACATAATTTCAAATTATTATTAACAGGTTTCTTTTTGTTGCAGGATCAGCGCGATGCCTTTTGAGTCGGTGTGGCAGCCATCCAAAAAAAAAAAAAAAAAACAGCCAAAGACACAATCACGTTTTCTCATCTTCTTATTAGAGTTAGGGATTATATGTGGTTTGCCACAACTTATCTGTGACTGACATAAATTGACCCTCCACCACAATGTTCTCCTTTCTTATCACTTTACACGCCAGCAGAATCTCTCCACCGTTAACGGTTTATAATCACCTTCTGTAAACAGTTTTAGAGGGGAACCCCCCCCACACACACACACACCCAGACACATGACTAGCCAAGCACCAGCATGGGATTTATTAGTGTTTTTCTGCCTTACTCCAACTTTTCAGGGTAAAAGTTGCCAGGGTGACCCGTTTCTTGAGCACTCTTGATTTCTCAAATCTGAAGATTGGATGGGGATTGGTGTTAGTGCTGGTGAAATATCCTGTTGGGAAACTTTCCATTTGAAATTTGTATTTTCTGTTTAAAAACATCCAACACCCATGAGATTAGAAGCTACAATAAACTTTTGATTAGATGCGGCGTTCGTGTTGTAAAAGAGCTTCCAAACCTATTCCATGGCTCAGTTTGGCTAAACGTGACCAAGCTCAGCTCAGTGGGGTTTGCTTTTAGTCAAACTAAAACACGGCTCTAGAGGGTGCACTCTTCAGAAACAGCTGCATGTAGAAAATTCTGGACCAACCAGTGACTCCATCCTCTAGCCAACTGGTTGCCAACAGTTGATGGCGCCTCGTTTTCCGAACGGCTCGGAAAGCTAGGAAGCGCAACAAAGCAAATGCCAAAAAGATTGGGGGAAACCCAAACTGTGCTTTTGGAAATGGCTGTCCAACTGATCCCATCCGAGTCACACTGAGTTGTGCTGTTGGAACACACTACAGCTGGCCATGGACGTAGTTTTGGGGGGGGGACAGGGAGGACATGTCTCCCCCACTTTTTCCAAAGTCTATTGTCCCCTGGTCTTTTTACCATCCAAAAACAACATTACGCTATATTAAATAAACACTTGTTGAGCACTAGGACCAAGCGGAAAACAACCACTTGCGTTGAAGCCGGTTTCCTATCTTTTGGCTCTGCTGATACTTGCTAACGTGTGATTGGCCGTCCCTGCTACCTGTGTACTTGACAATTCTGCATTCTTGACATTAAATAAAAGAGCCTCTAGGCTGTGGTTTTATACATAATTTTTGTACATTTACAGTAAAGATCCCCCCAGTTCTCATGCCTGCCCCCCCCCCCCCCCCCCAACACACACACACACACACACTTCTAAAGTCAAAACTTCGTCCATGCGGTTGCCACACTACCGCATATTCCCCCTCTCCTGATATAAACTTTTTACTTCCTTTAAAGGCACGGTGTGTGATATTTTTACCTGTTTACTATCAAATCCTATGTTTCCAGTTCACAAACTTGTCCTTTTTCACGAACATTTTTCACCAACATCAATTCTAAATATTCCTCTCAACTTGAAATTATACACTTTTATGTACATATACTGTGGTCGAGGCTCCATGGTCATCCACCATCTTAAGATACAGTAGCTGTTTAGGGACATACAAGCTCCACGTTGCCCGTTTGGTCTATGACTGTAACCTGAAAGAACCAGCAGAGGGCAGCAGTGCGCCCTGGAAGCATGGAGTCTGCTAATTCACCTAAGAAATAGAAAAGTATAGCTACACCGTTGCTGTACTTATTAGTTTGAATAAAAAAAAACATTAAATCAAAAGACACAAAACTTTTCAGTTCGTCATCATGTCCGACACAAGGAAGCCGCATATGTTCAGACCCCGGCCTGCTATTAGCTGGACGCCACGCCAGCCTCTGGTTAGTGTGTCTCTGACTCCCAAACTCACCTCAAGTTGTTCATCCGTCTTTTCCTAGTACCAGAACCCCCAACCCGGTCCCAATGTGTCCGTTCCAAAGTACTTCTACTCAAGTCTCCTCTCTTCCTGCAGCCCGCCGTCTCGCCCAACAGCGTTAGCCAGTGGCTAAATCAGCTTGTTTACTAGGGGCGGCGTTAGGCCCGGCTACTTGGGCTGAAGCCCCGGATCTTTCATGATAAGCCCCGGATCTAAATCGCGGAAGTAACATGCAGTACCAAAGTCCAACAGAGAGGGCGCAGCTGGCAGTAGTTTGTATACAGCCTGCCTGAGCCTCCACCACTGAAGAAGAAGCCCTTCAGCAGCCGGCTTCTTCTACACTCTCTGCCTGAAACGTATGAGTGAAGATGGACATAAGGACATTTTTTAGATCAAAAGTACCGCGACAGAACCCCAGCTTTGATGAGACTGGTGCTGACTCAGGTTTGTGGGTCTTATTTGAAAATATTTGTGGCGCTGCTGGTTTGCCTAAAGTTAGCTTACTATCAGGTAAAGTTGTTGGAGAAAGAAAGGGAATATTTGCTATCATCTCACACTAAACACTAACAGGAACAATACGCTGCCCTGAATATGCTTAATATGTAACTTCAGAATAAAAATTATGTGGTACAAGACATATATATATATATATATATATATATATATATATATGATGTTGACTAGTGCGTGTGTGTGTTAAGCCCCGGATCTTCTTCAGTCCTACATCCGCCCCTGTTGTTTACTTTATCTCCACAACACTTTAATAACAATGATGTAGTTCTCCACGTGTTACTGAGACGCTCTGACACAGAGGGCTTCTTCTCAAACGATACCTTTAGACTTGGGTCTCCTTTTGCTGGTAATCCGTGGGAGTTTATGCACAGCATACACAGTGTCTCCCTGGCTCAAGCTGTGGCTAACTAGTAGCTCAGTAGCTCGTTATGTCCATCTCCACCATGCCAGCCGTGAGCCACGATTAGCTGGTGGATAAGTCAGCATTGTTTACTTGATCTCCAGCGTGTCCCCGACTCACCAACTCTCCTGAACCAGCCGTGGTTAACGTTCAGCCAGTGATCGCTCCATATCCATATAAGCTGGTAGCGGCAGCCAGTTTTGTTTACATCGAGGCGCCGTGATCCACATGAAATGGGTGTTGTGGGAAATTTTGTTCCCCTGAAATATTCTGTTTCCCTTAGGCAGTCAAGAGCAAGTATTTCCAAATCCACAGAACTTATTGTCCATTATGAGGACTAAACTACCTCAGATAAAAGATGGTTAAACTGAGTGAGATTACATCTTTTTACATAACTTTCAAAACTGATAAATAAGCTTGCTGCAAAAGAGTGAACAAGAATGTTTTTACTGTATCTTTTTTTATTGTTTTTAGGAGGAAGTACAGATAAAAAAATCAGATGAATTAACAATATTACATTACATTACATAATTTTCCTGTAAAAGTGTATCACAAATATTGTCAAAATAGCCAGAAGTGCGATCTCCCGACACGGGGGGACAGAATATTTCAGGGGAACACTATTTCTCACAACACCTGACCTCCCGGGTGACGTCACCCCTCCTCCGTGTGTGAATCGTGACCGCTTCAAGATCTAACAGAACTAGCTTGCTTCCTTCAGAACTGGTAGGTTGATAAAACAGTCATAATTATAAATACCTTTTTAAAAAGGTCGAGTAGCTTGTTTTAAGCTTTGTGTGGGTTAGGCTAGACAGGTTGGAAATTGATTATACATTCAAACTCATGAGTGAGCCACCATAGCTGCAATACTTTCTCTGAACTGCATGGCGCTAAAGAGTCACATTTTTTCATCATGATTTCAATGGATTTCACACACGGGGCCTTTAACACACAACTGCTACTACTAGTTTACCTGTTGACCTAATCACAGACTCGCTCAGATAAAGGCAATAAAGATTATTTTGTTAATAAATAGAATTTCTGCTAATAATTTGCTGTGTGGTGTGTATACGTGTGTGTGTGTGTGTGTGTGTGTGTGTGTGTGTTGAATCGTCTCAAACCCCAGCAGCAGACAGCTGCTCATACTGATCCAGGTTCTGTTGGTTTCTTCCTGTTGAAGGGGAGTTTTCCTCTCCACTGTCACTACATGCTGGCTTAGTTTGCAGAGTGCTGTAGAGTCCCAGACACAAGTCAGTGACTTGATGCAATCTGATGGGTTTCCTAACATAAGGAACGTTTAATAAATTGGAATAATGAACTGAACTCAGTGCACTGATGGGTTCAACTGGAATGCTTACTTTGTGAAGTGCCTTAGGATGACTCTTGCTATGATTTGAGGCTATATAAATAAACTGAATTGATTTGAATTCCCTCATATGTTCCTCAGGGACTTGGTCATAAGTGAGGGACATATTTATTCTGTTTCCTCCCTACTCAGATCTATACACATTTGCCATTCCTGAAAATGCAGCAGTGGGCACCACGGTGGGCAGAATTATGGCGGGGGATGGAGACGTTGGCATCAACGCCAGAATGACTTATAGTCTGGAGGAGGACCTGGAAGGAAGCTCCACGTTTATTATCCAAACAGACCCGGTGACGCAGGCAGGAGTGGTTCTGCTGGCCAAGGTGAATACATTTACATTATTGTTTACATCAATTGTCCAATTTATAATCTAACAGAGGCAGGTTCACTTATTATAAAAGACTTGTGTTGTTTAAAAAGACAAGAAGGTTGTGGCTTTTCGGGGTTTGTTGCTGGACTAGAAGCTTTTTTGGTTTTACTCCAAATAAGCATTTTGCTGCAGAAGCAAGCTCAGATTTGTCCTTTTTCTCTATTAGCAGGATCTCCTTGCTTCCCCAAACTCAACAAGTGACAAACGGTTTAAAAATAATTACCAAGAAAACATTTTATTTTAGCAAAACAATCAAATAAAAAACACTAAACATTTGATCAAAGACCTTAATCAGTATAATGAGGACATATGCATATCTTAGGGCTTGCAGCAGCTCAGGTTGTCCAGTAATCAGAGGGTTGTAGGATCAATCCCAGATCCCTGCAGAGAATGCTGTTGTGTCCTTGGGCAAGGCACTTAACTCACCTTGCCTGTTGGTCATTTATCAATACATTTTGTGACACTGCAGAAGCATATCGAAAGAACGCCACAGCGAATGTGTGTTGTAATCACAGCTAAAGGTGATTCAATGAAATATTAGTGTGATGTTATTTTATTTTATTTTTTGTGTGGTAACTCATTTTTTTGGCTGGGCAGTGCACTTTACAACTCATCTCCCTTTTCCTTTGTACATATCACCTTGTGCAAAGACAATCATTATAGGAGTGTTATAGCACCCTATTGCAACAAAAGTCTGATTTTCAGTTGGACACATTTAAAGCAATCAGTGTGCTCCCAAAAGTGAAAGAAACTGGAGGTACTGAATGGTTTCTTGATTAAATGAGTGTCTACAGCATTTTATTTGAGGCGGTCCATTTCCTGCAGTCACTCATAAAATGTTGACATTAGGTCTAGCACTAAAAGAAGCTCGACTGGTGCACGACTTTCTCCCGTGGTGGTAAAATTATCTGGTTTAAAGGCAGAAAATTACAATCTTTGGCTCAGTTTGAATCTCTAAAGCTTTTACTGTTGCCTAGGTGACTGGATGGGGAGGGGATTAAGGGCTAAAAGTAAAGCGAGAAAGGAACCAGAAACAGAAGTCAGTTTTTTTTCTTTCTATACATGAAAAAAAAACTAACAGCGACTCAACAATTCATACATTTTTAAACTTGTGTTTTGATTTTACCAAAAGGCAAAGAATCAAAATAGATGAAGAGTATTTTTACGTGACAGATCCATGCCCTGGCAGGACACAGCTTCTTCCTAAACACCCTCCGGTCGTCTGAAAACAGGACGACAAAAAGTTTGTCAGAGACCAGTGAAAAGTTTCTGACAGACAATAATTCACTGAGTAGGAGTGATGAGAGGCCAGAGGCTGAGGCGCTTGTCTGTGACTCGTAGCAGCTTTCAGATCTGAAGCAATGAAAGTGCAAAAGCAGTCTGTGTGCTTATTCCACATTATTAATGGTCTTCATTTGGAATAGCTTCTAGAAAATAAGAGGAATGTGAATATAATCAGAACTCACCCTACCCAATCATTTGATCCGAGCCTGTTAATATTCTTCATGGTTGGTTCTCAACAGTCCAATGCCAAAATATCATCTTTCCATGCGTTGCAATGCTGGGGAGAAAGCTGAAAGTTTCATTTACTCAAGATTTTTGCAGCTTTTAGAAAAACGCCAGCTAGCTGTTGCAGTTTTCTCTGGCAATAACAGTAGAACTCTATAATTAATTTGGACTTAATGGTAACCTGAATATTAATAAAAAGGTTTCTGATAAAGAAATTTAAAATTAAAGCTTTAGCGTTAATGATTGGTGCTACATATGTAACAAATTATCAATAAGATGTGATGATTCCATATAAATATGAAATATCAATCTGATTGATCTTTAAATGTTTAATCAGAAGATTGTAGTTTCTTCTCTGACCATTACCACACACAAGTATATAGTTTATAAAACACATTTATTTCTATTTTCCTAAACTAACGATTTTACAAGACAAGGTATGAATGATGATGTAATGTAATGGATATGAAGTGATTTAATTTGACGTGTGGAATGCTGGAATGGAAGCTCGATGTTTTAGCAAAACCTTTCTTAAGTATCTGAGAGAGTTTGTGGAGTCTGGGTTGTAAAATCAATTTGGCTGTATGTTTGGTAAACTAGAGATTTGTTTATGAAACCATTCGACTCGGTCTGTTGAGTCTACGATACCCTTTGTGTGGAGTAGGGCTGGACAATAATTCAATAGTTCAATATATCTATCAATAGACATGTGATGCGATAGATTAAAAAACGGGTCGATAAAACTTTGATTAAAAAATTGTTAACTTTTCCCATTATAACATATCAGGTAGCATACTAGGCTCACTTACTCCTAATCAATCAAAACCACAGACTCGGGCACGATACGTCACCAGGCTCTCCCCTCTCAAGCTAAAACAGATCATGAGGCAGCCGCAGCAAGGTCTCTAGGACCGCCACGATTAGTTGACTCGTCAAATAACGCCGACAAATAAAATACACCCGATTTTATCAACAATTTTTTAAAATCTCGCCTGCTGTGGCACGTTCGGCGTTTGCTTCCTGCCTTTTTGCTCAGCCGCCGCTTTAGCTCAGAGGTGCATGCGCAGTGGTGGCCATCCGGCTCAGCCTTCACCGGAGAAAGTGGCGAGTCGCAACGGAGCTGAAAAGTTTGGGAGCATTATGCAAATTCAAAAGAAAGGCCCATCGAGTGCAAACTCTGCAAAGAAAATTTCTCCTTTCACGGAGCACGTCGGCTATGCACGAGCATCTTAAGAGGAAGAGCAAAGAGTCGCCTCGGTAAGTTTGCCTCTTGTTAGCTGCTAACATCAACACAGTTACTCGTATTTATAGCTGTAGCAACACCTGTAGAGACGGTGATTTTATTACCTTCAGAACACGTTTGCATGTTACGTATTTTTGCTCTAATTACAAACGCTACGTTACAGTGGAGGTTACAGACATGTGACGACAACTACCTACCAGGATGATCCCACTTCCCCACCATGATAGAAAAAAAGAGTTACACAACTTTAAAGGTGTGTGTGTGTGTGTGTGTGTGTGTGTGTGTGTGTGTGTGTGTGTGTGTGTGTGTGTGTGTGTGTGTGTGTGTGTGTGTGTGTGTGTGTGTGTGTGTGTCGGTTTCGCTCTGGACATTAGAATAAAATGCATTTTACGATCAAATTAAAAGGTTGCTGACTGAACAATCAAGAAACTAATTTTTTTAAAGCATAACACATTTTCTTCCTTAACCTACTTTATTTGATATAACAGAATTATTAATCTGGTAAATAAACTAACTTTAATATCTTTTATCTTTACGGTAAAGCAGACCCTCAGAGCTGTCACTGATCCCCTGACTGCTGACGTGTGGACCAGCCACCAGGTGTACCTCGGTGTGTCCTTTCCTGAGTTGAAAGATGAAGCTTTTCAACCTTTCCACCATGCCTCATGTGAACACAAGTCATTTTTGTGCACAAATTATTTAAGGTTTCAGGTGCCTACCTCCATTTGATTGTAGCATTTGTATTAGGTTACAAAGGTAATTAAAAGTTGTTTGATAAGCTATCATCCTGTCTTTATTATTAGATGGCTCACAGCTGATCACACTTCAGACTAGAAGGTAATGATGGGTATATTAGAGCATCCTGGAGCAATAAGCTTAACTTTTATGAATAACACAAGTAGTCAACTAATCGTTAACAAAACTAGCAATTAGTTGACTACTAAAGTAGTCTTTTGTGGCAGCCCTAAAAATGGTGCAGCGAGAAGAGGCAGAGAAAAAAATCAAAATATTAAAAATAAAATGGCCAGGGGTGCATGTAAAATATGTTCTACAATTGTTTTCACTATTTTTCAATAATTATAGATATCGATCAATATAATTTTTTTATCGATATAATTTTTTCGATATCGTCCAGCCCTAGTGTGGAGATCCCCGTTCAGATGCAGGGGGGTCATGAGATCGGGATGGTCATGGACCTCTAGGTACCAAGAACTCGTAGATTAGCTCCGATATGACCCGTCTAGTCTTGAGATATCTCCAGGTCATGACAGGAAGCTGAAATGCTTGTTAGCATCTAAGGCTGTTTGTTGGCTCTTAGAAGAGCTGCTTTGTCTGATAACATCAAGTGTTGCAGAGAGGTTTTGACTTGAGGTCAAAAGATGGGATGCTTTCAAAATGCTTGTTCCCGAATTGGCCGGTTCGAGAGTCGGCGAGAAACTGAATTAATCAGGAAGTAATTCCTGTTTTGTTGAATCACATTGCTAATAAATTTGGCAAATCAGAATTTGACACGTTTGAGGGCTTTACCCAAAATACCTCAGAAGTAAATCCTTCCTTCAGATACAAAGATGGCTAACTCTTTGTGTGAATGGGGATGTTTAAACTCTTATGTGAAGTGGATGTTAAACATTAACGATAATCTTATTTTAACGCGTATGAGTGTACTGATAGATTAACTTGTTAAATCAACTCATACTGATCTGGAGTAGTTAAGATCTGAAAGGGATCATTGCAGGAACAATATTCATTTTAAACCCATCATTGATTAAAGCACAGATTATTCAAACATTCGGTTTAAACATCTGGTTCATTCAACGCATTTGATTATTTCAACTTAGAAGTTGTAAAGTCACTTAGGAACTTTTAGGAGGTTGAACTTTATTCAGAGTGAGGATGCAGCAGTTTTGGTTGCATGAGACCTTGACTGAGAATGTTATGACTCTGGACTGGAGCAGAGTTCTCCTTCTTGGACCAGACAGATGGTGTTTTTGTGTCTGCAAATGAAAGTTAATTTCTGGTCAATTTGTTGGTGAAAAGGTGACCAATGCTATGTTACAGAGCCATTTTAAAACAGACAGTGGCAGAGGAGTTAGGTGTTCACCCTGTATCCGGAGGGTTGCAGGTTTGAGCCCTGCTCAGTCCGTTGCAGTCGTGTCCTTGGGCAAAACACTAAACCTTCTTTGCCTGCTGGTGGTGGTCAGATGGACTGGTGGCACAGCACTTCTGTCAGTGTGTCCCAGGACAGCTGTGGCTACGTTGTAGCTCATCACCACCAGAGTGTGAATGTGTGTGTGTGCATTGGTAAATGTGTGGATGTGTTGTAAAGCACCTTGGGGGGGTTGTATGATACTAGTAGATGCCATTCGGCATTTTTTACCATTTACAATGGCGGTAACTTGGATTGGAAATTAACTCAGTCTAATCAAAACAAATCTCAATTTGTCTACGAGTTTTTTAAAAATGCCTTTTTACACCCGGTGAGTTTTCATCATCAACCATATATATACATATATCTATATATATATGTGTATATATATATATACATATATACATATATATATATATATATATATATGTATACATATATACATATATATATATATATGTATACATATATACATATATATATATATATATATATGTATACATATATACATATATATATATATATATATATATATATATATATATATATATATATATATATATATATATATATATATATATATATATACATATATATACATATATATATATATATATATATATATATATATATATATATATATATATATATATATATAGATTGATAGATAGATAGATAGATAGATAGATAGATAGATAGATAGATATATGTATGTATATATATATATGGTTGATATTGTAGCACTATTACCAGTCTCCTAAGATAATAAAATTAATTCCCCTCCATCTAGAGCTGGGTGATATGGCCTAAAATTAATATCACAATGTATTGAGGATTTCACCTTGATAACATTAAATGGACGATAACTACAGGTATGCACAGAAACAAAAGTTGTCCACTAGATGGGGCTGTCACATGTATCGCGTTGAGTCACATTTTTACGTGACTCAAGGTGGTACAGCTTCTTGAAGGGACATGAATGTTGCCAACCAACACACGTCTTTTCATTTTTTTACTATCAAATTTATTGACATGGGAAAAATTATCCCAATAAGACTCAGAAATTTCGATAACGATAAATTTTCTATTTATTGCCCAGCCCTACTCCCTCATATTAGGTGGTTAAAGTTAACAGAGTTGTTTTCTTTACTTCACAGCCTTTGAACTACGAATCCAAGAAACGTTATGTCATGGCGGCAGAGGCAGTTAACGATCACATTGACACCCGCTTTCTGCCACTGGAAGAGTTCAGGGACAGGACGACTCTGAAGATCCTCGTGGGGGACGTGGATGAGCCGCCCGTCTTCCTCTCCTCAGTCTACGAGTGGAATGTTCCTGAAAACGCAGCGGTGGGAACGGTGTTTGGCAGCATTAGTGCCAGAGACACTGACTCATTCAGCAGTCCTATCAGGTAACAAGAGCTGTCTAGAAACAGGAAAAATGGCATCTGCCATTTACACAATGCAACGAGCAGTTTAATAATGACTGGGGAGACACCCAAGCTGGCGTGGGTGAAACACCCTGCAACAGCGTCTTCCACGGGGTGAAAAATCATTCCATTTCAAATAGTGTTACTGCCTCAGTGCATCCATTTTTACCCTTGATCTCTGGATACCCTGTACATGGTCATATTTATCTCATATGACTTTAGTGGGAAATGAGCCCTTCTGAATAAATCATGACGATTTTTTTCATACCTCACAGGCTTTTCTATCTATTGGTGGTATTATCACAAAGCAACGTTGCTGGGACGTGCAAATGTAATAAAGCACTATACGAGGCGGCATATGGAATTGAGATTTGCAGTCATTTGCAAGGAAGGCACGTTGCAGAGGAGACAGCCTTACAACTGGTGCCTGTAGTCCATCTCAGCAGAGCTTAGGAGTGGCAGGTGCTGCATATCATCCTCAGCGTAGCGACTATTACCGTCTCTCTGGTGACAGAGCCTCATTGATTAATAAATTCAGGCTGACATTTTAGGTGTTACCACACTTGTAGTAAATGTGATTAAGTTTGCTGTGGTCAAACTGCTTTATTTCCCTTGCTCTTATCAACTCATTTACGGAATCAGATGGTTTTAAATCTTTCAAAATCAAATTGGGTTATATGGCAGAGTAACATGAAAAGTTGAGGGTCGAAAAATATATTTGATGTTATAATATGATATTTTACGGGGTGTTGCATGGGATGCTCGATATTGGCCTTTTTTTAAACTGATATTCGATATATATGTTGTATCCCCCTCAAAAATAAAAATAAATAAATAAATACTAAAACATTTCAGGTCACCAACATCAAATTTCTTCTATCATGCATGCCTAAAGTGACGATGTGGGTTTTCCCTGGCAACAGAGGGCAGCCCATATCTAAATCACTGTAAGCAAGCACTATTTTGTGTTTGAGTAAGACCTTACCAACGGATATGGCCATTAGGGTCAAAAATCCCTGGGAGCGCAACCTCCAGCAAAAATACAAGCACATCAGACTCCCTTTCATCACTGGCAACAAGAGAAGAGTTAAATGTGTAAAAAAAACTGTGTTTATGAAAGGAGAAAGTTTTATTTTCCTTAGAAAAGTTTCTAGGCCTGGCGCATCGTGAGAGCCGGGGAGGTGTTTCGTTTCACTCCCGCTCGTGACAGCAGCAGAGAGGCACACGGCTCGTTCTGCTACTGTGCGTTGTCCGTGACTGTGGGCGAGGGGGTGGTGGGGTAGACACTTTCCCTGGTGTGGGTCCAAGCACATGCTTATAAAATGCTGGGGGAAACCCTGCACTTGTTAAAAGTCAGTAAATGCATTTTGTACTCACAGGCTACTGTAGAAGGAAACATTGCATCTAATATGGCCGCTCCCATGTATTTTAGACCTGATTTTTATGGTTATATGTTACGAAGCCACCAATATTTTCAACACCTGGACATCATTTAATTCATTTTCAACAACAAATCTTTAGATACTTCTAGAGATTAACTGTAAAATCTACACATTAAATTTTTTTACATTTTCTTTGCAAAATCACAACTACTTCAGGCATGGACGTAATTTTCACTTTAGAAGTGAGGGGGACACGGGGGTGGGGGGGTGGGCTGTTGGGGGGATCTTTACAGTATGCTCTAATGGGAAACCGGCTTCAGCACAAACGGTTGTTTTCTGCTTGGTCCTAGAGCTCAACCAGTGTCAATTTAAGATAGCGTAATATTGTTTTTGGATGGTAAAAAGTGCAGGGGTCAAAACTTGACTCTGGAAAAAGTGGGGGGGGGGACATGTCCCCCCTGTCCCCCCCCCCAAAATTACGTCCATGACTTCAGGTTAAGTTAGTAGAAAATACCACGCTTAGTTTATCTCTAACAGCAGCTGAATCTCATTCTCCCTAAGATCTGTGTATTAGTTAGTAATGTATTTATTATTTTTCTGTATATTGCAGCTGTGGTGATAAAACATGCATGAAGATCTACAGATAAGAAAAGCAAAACTTGGGTGAAGATTCTGGTTTTTGTTTTAGTTGTTTGTTAGCTGGCTAGCTACATATAACTACGTCCTGTGAGGACAGCTTACATTCACTATACAGGGCAAATTTCTACTTCACAAGTTGTCAAACAAACTAATATTTCTCTAGATCCTTAGATCTGCCATATTTTAACATTTTGAGAGAGAGGAGAAGTAGCTGAAAAGTTTGATGTCCAATACGTGTATGGTATGTAAATGTTGGATCATTAAAAGACTGAAAACTAATACCGATATTTTCTGTTATAAAATTTTAATGCCGACATTAGCCGATTTTAACGGTAGACCGATCATGTTGAACAACCCTAGTTGTTATGTTTCCTGATAAAACTATTGTATATAATATGAAAGTATTTTGTTCAAATTTTTAAAAACACATTTTCAGAACGTGATATTTCAGATTTGAAAAATAAAAAAGATTAAACAAATAAAAGCTTAACTATATGAAACTCAATCAAATTGGATTATTTTTTGACACATTAGCCCAAGAAATACTTCATTACTTTCTTATAATACTTTGCTACATACTTTACTTTTGCTGTTAGTGGTTTTAAACTCAGTTTATAAAGATTTCAGCGCTTTAGTTTTTAAACTTTCAAATATTAAAGATTAATTGAGGTGCTTTAAAGTAAACAAAGTTCATATTTACTATAGTGCGTGCTTAAATCTGGCCTAGGCATTGCGGTTCCCAACATGTTGTCACATTTGCTGTGTTGAACATCTCAGTTTTTGCTTTGCTTTAAAAGAGCAGTTTCCCAATCTAATCTCCCGATGGTACTGCAATGTTTTGTTTGCCCAGAAAACAACCTTCATTGCACAATGTGCCTTTCTGTGAATGTTCTTCCAGATACTCGATTGACAAAAGGACTGATGCCACAAAAGCTTTCAAAATAGACCCAAACAATGGAACCATCGCTGTTGCTAAAGCTTTGGACCGAGAGACAACAGAGTGGTACAACATGACGGTCGAAGCCAAGGAAACAAGTAAGGACTGTTTGGATCTTGTTGATACGGGTGCAGCACATTTATTCTCATCAACAACAAAAAATGCTGGAGCAATGTGGCGATAAGAAGCTTGTTTAGGGCAGTCATTGCTAACAAGGTGTACTTCTTAAGTTCTGCAGGAAATGTATATTTAAAAACCTCCAAACATTTCTTGCAAAACAGTATAGCTGCATATTTTAGTGGGCTTTTTACTTACACCTAAAAGGAAAAAACCACCTTTGTAGAGTATAAAATAACGACTATAGGCTCTGGATAAAACTTAGATTGCTTTTTAGTAAAAGTCTCAAACTTTGGTTAACCACTGTTTAGGATACGAGCATTTGTGTTATTTAAATAGTTGTGTGGGTACTTTTTGATTTCTTGTGGATTTTTTCTCTTCCACTACGCATCAGAATTATATAAGAGCTCAATTATATTAATGCATTCATCTAAATCATAACATGTGGTGCTAAAGGTTCCACAATGTATTTTAACTCACAAAGATCAATGGCTATTAACTTCCTGTTAGTGATCGTGACTGACTACTGCTGGCAATTACTCTGTAGCAAAAAATAACATTTCACAGAAACTATTAGATTTCTTAGAATATTACAATGGTAAGTGGCCTGTAAATATTGGTCCTTGTAGTCCTAGAGCTCCCCCCAAGGCGCTTTACAACACAGCAGCTTTTCAAAACATTCACACACTGTTGGCGATGAGCTAGAATGTAGCCACAGCAGTGCCAGGGCTAACTTATAGAGGTAGAGTTAGTGCGTCGGGCTGCCATATGCACTTGTTACCACTGGTTCCCTCCACCAGCAGGCATGGTGGGTAAAGTGCCTTGCCCAAGGACACAACAATTCACACTGAGCAATGCGTGACCCTGCAACCCTCTGGTTACGGGTGAGCACTTGACCCCTCTACCACTGCCGTCCTCAGGTGAGAAGATCCAAGGAACTTAGTGAAGATAGCAGATTTGTAGATTTGCACAAGTTGGAAAAGTGTGCATGTTCCATAATTTAAAATCCAAGAATCATCATCATCAACAAGTTATCAACACTTAATAAAAGTCCAGAAGAACATCCAAATTGTCTTCTTTAGATGGTGTGGAGTTGTTTGACATGTTCAGGAACAACTCAGGACTCAATGGTTTGGAAGATACTGGAAAACCATCATAGCCATCCAGTTTCACCTTGGCCTGAGGATACCAGAGAAACTTTTCAAGAGAAACCATCAAGCTTGACTAACATCTACAGTGGTCTATGTGGACAAGACAAAGAAAGGAAGTATCTTTTATATAGTGCCTCTCAAGCTAAAAATCACAAGTCGTTTCACAAAACAAAAATTTAAATAACAAGGCAAGGCAGCTTTGTTTATGGAGCACATTTCAAATACAGAGGCAATTCAATGTGCTTTACAATTATGAGGACATGATATGAAAACAACATAAAAACACAAATTAAATACATACAAATGGAATTACAGTTTAGAGCTAAACAGCACAGATTACAGTGGAGACGACGCATGATAAGGAACTATTCATTTACAGGCTGATGAGTACATTAGGGTTTTTGTTTTGTTTTAAACAACACTAGGGTTGGGGCAGATCTGAGGTCATGGGGAAGCTGATTCCATATGTGAGCAGCAGTTACTAAATGCATCTCCACCATGTTTTGTTCTGACCCGAGGTTCTCCCAGCTGATTCTTTCCAAGGGATCTCAGAGCCCTATTGGGTGTATATACAGGAATGAGATGGGACATGTGTTTTGGTCCCATGCCATGGAGTGATTTATAAACTAGTAGGAGCACTTTGAAGTCTATTCTGTAGTTTACTGGTAACCAGTGTAGGGATCTAAGAACAGGAGTGATGTGTTCCGTTCTCTTAGTTCTTGTTACTCTAGCAGCAGCCTTCTGAACAAGCTGCAGTTGCTTCACAGCTTTTTTGGAAAGACCAGTTAGGAGACCATTGCAGTAGTCCAGCCGACTAGAAATAAAAGCATGCATATTTTTTTTTAATGATTTAAAAATACCATCAAAATGAGGGAAAAAAATGGGATAAAAATGTAAGGATAAGGAAAAAGAAAATGAATAAGAAGTAGGGAAATCAGTGGAAATCTTGGAAACGGAATTGGTTTATAGAGCAGAATAAGGAGAGGGAAGTGATGAAATGATAAATGACCCACACTTGTATTGCGCCTCTCAGAGTAAGGACTCCAAAGCGCTTTACACTACAGCGTATCATTCAACAATTCACACACACATTCACACACTGATGGTGATGAGCTACTATAAGAATAAGAATACCTTTATTAGTCCCTCATTGGGAAAATTGCAATATTGCAATGGCTCAGGTACAGCAGGATAGCAGCAGTAGCATACAAGATATCGCACAAGAGTACATAAGTTAAGATAATTATTGCACATGGTAATGAGAGTGGTAGTTATATTGCACATGTTTTGAAAAGATTATATTTGCAGTGGAAGGTTATAGATGTATGGCTTCTATTAGCAGTGACTATTATAGAGTCTAACAGCAGCAGGGAGGAAAGATCTGAGGTATCTCTCTTTCGTACAGTGAGGGTGGATCAGTCTGTTGCTGAAGCTGCCCTCCAGAGCAGACAAGGCATCCTGCAGGGCGTGTGACTCATGGTCCAGGATGGATCTGAATTTTGCCAGCACCCTTTTGTCCCCCACCTCTCGTATTGAGTCCAGAGGACAGCCCAGGACAGAGCTGGACTTCTTTATCAGCCTGTCCAGCTTCTTCCTCTCCCTCTCTGTAATGCTGCTGCTCCAACCCACCACACCATACAGGATGGCTGATGCCACCACAGAGTCAGTCACCCCAAAAGACCGTAGTCTCCTCAGGAGGTTAAGCCTGCTCTGGCCCTTCCTGTACAGTGCGTCTGTGTTGTGAGACCAGTCCAGTTTGTTGTTCAGGTGAACACCCAGGTATTTATCGGAGTCCACTCTCTCGATGTCCGTTCCCTGGATGTTCACCGGTGAGGGGACAGCAGGTCGGCGTCTGCGAGGATCCACCACCATCTCCTTTGTTTTCCCTGCATTGATCCATGGTTTGGTGTTTGCGAAGCACCGCACCATCCTGGAGGGAACGGTGTTCTCAAAACAGAAGTTTATGTAGTCCGTGATGCAATCTGTGATGGCGTTGATGTCCTCCCCATGTGGATCACAGAGTTCTGTCCACACTGTGGTGTTGAAGCAGTCCCTGAGAGCCTCCTCACACTCATCAGTCCACCTCCTCACTGTACATGGGGCCACAGCCTGTCTGTGCACAACTGGACAATACACAGGGTTGAGGTGCACCATGTTGTGGTCAGCTCTCCCCAGGGGGGGAGGGGGGATGCCGAATATGCCTCTTTGATGTTGGCATAAAACAAGTCCAGTATGTTATTGTCTCTGGTGGGACAGGTAACATACTGCGTAAATGTGGGCAGAACAGATGACAGAGGAGCTTGGTTGAAATGCCCAGAGATGAGAAAAAGGGCCTGTGGATGCTGTGTCTGCAGGCTGCTGGTGATCGTGAGCAGAGCTTCAGAAGCTGTCTCCACATTTGCAGAAGGCACGCACACCACGATCACAATAGCATGTGAGAACTCCTGTGGCAGATAATGTGGCCTCATACTTACAGCCAGCAGTTCAATGCTATTATTGCACAGTTTCTCTTTAATCGTGCCGTGTGCCGGTTTACACCACCTCTTGTTCACTAACGCAGCCAACCCCCTCCTTTCCTCTTACCGCTGTCCTCCGTCCTGTCTGCCCGTAGCAGATGAAAGTTGTCCAAAGACACAGCTGCCCTGGGGCGCTCTGACAGAGGCGAGGCTGCCGAGCACAGGCACCATCAGTCCCTCCAACCGCCACCAGCAGGCACGGTGGGTTAAGTGTCTTGCCCAAGGACACAACAGCAGAATTCTCTGTCATAGGTCACATCACAAATACCTTCTGGGGAGATATTGTGTGATCAGATTTGATTATTGAAGATTTCAAAGTGAGGCATTTAGATCATGAACTTAGTGGTAAGCATGGTGGTGGCAGCATCATGATGTGGAACTAGTGAACTACCTCCAAAGGTCTTTAAATTTATCTGAAATGATCAGCTAGATGGTTGAAACTTCAAGACAATTGGGTGATAATGACCCTTAAGACATCAGAACTGGTTTCTGAATGGATGAAGCAGGCTAGCATAATGTTTCTGCAATGGTGTTCCCAAAGCCCCTTTGAAAACGCATGGACTTTGCTTAAAAATCTGTGTAGGAACCAAACAAATAAAAATTGGCTCTACGAATTTTGCCAAGAATAGCGGTTATTTTAGACACGAGCACATCTACTATAAATTGAAATGTCAGCACCCAGTTCTTTGTAAAAATCAGATGTTTTATTTTGTATAATCATATCAATTATCAAAAATTCCTGAACTCCTAACCACAGCTGGGTATCAAAAGCTAATGATTAAGAGAGAAATTAGTTTGTAAATTTGAATTGAAAAAGAACAATATCCAATCTTTATTGTATTTGAGAATCTGGAATTTCTAATCTTGATAAAGCAAGTGTTGCTTTGGAACTTTTAAAAATGTTCTCAGTAAAGGCCTACAGTCAGATAAAGCACACGTTTTTTTTATGTAAATGCCATCTTTTTTCTAAGTGGTTGCCAAGATTTTTAACTGGTTTATATGCCTGGGAGTACATCTACACAAGACCAGCAAAGGTCCTAGAGAAAGAGGCAAGCTGTCAGATTCAATCCAAAACGCAGTGCACTGTGTTTTCAATTAATTCAGCTGATTATTTTGTTTTGGTCTTGTTTCTGTGTAAGTGATGTGGGAATACGGAGCATTTATCAGTCTTAAGTGTTATGTTGACACAGTTTTCACAAAGCATCTGTGATACATGCACCCAGCGGACTTCAGCAAATGTCTGTCTTCGCCACTGCAGCGCAGAACCATTTATCCTCCTCTGTGGTGGTGTTCATCAAAGTGCTGGACATAAACGACAACGTGCCAAGGCTTGCGAGGGATTACCAGCCATATATCTGTGAGGGCACACAGGCGGGAGATGTATGTATATTATGTTGTCTTCATGTTTAGGATTTATTCTGCAGAAATCCCAACGTTCTCATAACCTGCTAGTACGTACATCTCTTTAAAAACAACAATGACGTCACGAAGCATTTGATTGCAGAGAAGAGAATGTTGGTGTCATCGTTGGTATTTTAAGAAAGAACATAACTAGGCATGTGGAACAGCAATACCTTTTATTGTTTGTGATGTTTACATTTTGTTTTGTCTGTATTTGCTTCTCAAGCTTATTCAGCTTCTCAGTGCAGTCGATCCAGACGAGCCCACGGAGGGACACCACTTCTATTTCTCCATGGTGCCGGAGGAACGCATCAATCCAAACTTCACTGTCCGAGATAATCAAGGTTACATTGAGTTACAAAATACAGCAAATAAGGACTTTTATATTACTGGTACACATCATGTTCTAGTCGAGCACAATAGTTTTATTTTTTCACCTATACCAGGGGTAGGCATATTTTCCAGCCATTCATGAACTTGCAGCTTCTAATTGGCTGAACACACTTGCAGGTAACCAACAGCAGGAAACACAAAGATAGTCGGAAAACAAGCAGGACTGCGGCTCTCTTGGACCAGGGTTGCCTTCCCCTGATCTATGCCGACACTAGAAATCAATGTATACATATAGTTATTTCTCCCTCCTGTATGTAACATTTCTGGCCAACAGTGTAATTAGCTACTCATTTAGCTACTAATATTCAAATGGATTGTTGTCTCAGAAGTTTGTTTTCTGACTTTATCTCAAAGTGTTGTTACGCCAACTCTAGTATTAATGTATTGTGGTTAAAGAGGAGTTTTACTGAGAAACTTATACTTTTTGTTCTTTTTGAATGAGAGAAAACAGACCAAAACAGTTTTCTACCTCCATTTTCTTCATTAGCTGCAGAAAGAAAATAGATGGAGAAACACCCGGGTTTCGAAAAGTCACACAGATCTATGTCACATTGTAAAGTTAGCATTCATGTGCTCACCTTGGCTTGTGACCACTACGTTTACTGAGAGAGCAGAGCATGGCTCAACTACTAGAAGCTAACCGTTAGCATTAGCAACTCCACAACATGGTAGAAAACATCCAGGCTTGTGTTATTTGTGGAAGTCAAACATGAATGTAGCATTGTTTACCCAAGAAAGGAGAGCGAACGAAGGCAGCCAAAGAGTCATGTTGCTGTTAGCCAGAGGTGTGGACTCGAGTCATATGACTTGGAATCGAGTCATTATTTTAATGACTTCTGACTTGACTTGATAAAATCTATAAAGACTTACGACTTGGCTCAGACTTGAACGCCAATGACTTGCGACTTGAATCGACTTGCATCTGTTGACTTGATGATGACTTGAGCATATTTGATATTTTAGCACAAAAGTGACACGACATGGACAAAAATCATAAATCATTCTTGGTTCTGGGTTTGATCTTGTTCTGCTAAATGCAGCAGCACTTTGTTTATAATCAGTTTCAGTTGCACTTTCTGCTTGTTTGAGCAAATAAATGAAGCTTTAAGAAGCTTTATTTCTGGAATTTATTTATTATCATTGTCATTAAATTGAAGTTGGACAGATGACTTGATTATGACTTGAAAATTCAAAGTTAAGGACCCGGACTTAACTTGGACTTCCACATCACTGACTTTGGACTCAACTTGGACTTGGTTGTCTTTGACTTGGACTTGACTCGAGATTTGACTGGAAAGACTTATGACTTGCGAAGCAGTGACTTAGTCACACCTCTGCTGTTAGCCAATGGGAGGCAAGTTGTTCGCCTGTCATGAATATTAATGAGTAAGACTCCAAATCTGGCTGTCTGTCCTACACACACACACACACACACACACACACACACACACACACACACACACACACACACACACACACACACACACACACACACACACACACACACAGTAGATTATTTACATAACGTGTTAACCCCCCTGCAATTGTTTTTGTGGGAAAAAAGCAATGCTAGCTAGCATCTCTTACCTTTTTTTATCAAACCAATCATTCTGATACATCTTCAAATATTAGCTTAAAGTTTTATTATGCTATATTGAACTATTTTAGCCCTTTAAGTGCATATTAGTGTAAATCTGAAAATTCTAAAAAATAACTTAAAGCGCAACAATTTTCACCTATATATTGATCAAAATAGTGACCTTTCATCTACAGCATAAATCCACTTTATAAATTCCACTAAATTTGGACTAAATCCAGAAGATTCTGCTCAGCGCGTGGTGACATTCCATAAAGACAACGCATTCAAATAAACACTCTGTCCCAAGGTTCCTGCACTCTCTGTGAAAGCCAGACGTCAACAGTCTTCACTCTGAATAAGTGAAGACTCCATGATTTTATAGTTATAAGTTAAATAATCATATGTGATGAATGAACAAGATGTTTAAATCAAATGTTTGAATAATCTGTGCTTAAATCAATGAATTTATAATGAATATTGTTCTTACAATGATCCATTTATATCACAAATCAGTATGTGTTTGATTTAACAAGTTAAGCATTGTTTACACTCATACACATCACATAAGAGTTTTAAGACATTCTCATTCACAATGTTAAAAACATTTTTGTATCTGAGGAGGGCGTGGCTTTCTGAGGGATGTTGGTAAATACTCAGAAATGTGTCAAATTCTGATTGGCCAAACTTGGCCAGAAATCATAACAAAGTAGTTTAATAAAACAAGAATTACCGTCCGAGTAATTCAGTTCTCCAGCTGACCCCCGATTCGGCCAAATCGGGAAAGAAGCCTCTCTTGAAACCATCTCCTTTTACCTTAAGTCAAAACCTTTCTGCGACGCTGCAAGTGATTACAGCCACAACAGCTCTTTTCAGAGCTACTTCAACTCTCAGACATCCACCTTGGACACCTAACCTGCAGACCCCAGGTTGCATCTCATGGCCGGGGAGGCTGAACTCAGAGGAAGCTACTAATCTCTGAGTATTGTGGTTTCGACGTCCGATGACCTCACCACACTGACCGCAACCCTCCGGACCGCCGCGATCAACTCATACAAGGGTATCGTAAGCCTGCATACTGGGGTCTGATGAGGTTAATAAATAAACAACTCTCTAGTTTATAACAAACAACAAATTATTTTACACCCAGATTTCACAATTTCTCTCAGATACAAAGAACGGTTGCTACAACATCTAGCTTCCATCACAACACCTCACATCCACCACATCACATCTCATTATTCATATCTTATCATGTATCATTCGTTTATATTGAAATACACAGGCTGTAAAAACACCTGTGACAATGTAATCTCTACAATGATCAATGAGAAAAGGTATATTTATTCTTGTTTGATTTCTAAAACATTCATTTAAATACAACAACTGACTTTACACTCTTTGGCATTTGCTGGTGAATGTGTTGTTTTGGCCGCCTCTCAGCTTGGTAGGATGTTTATGTATTTAAAAGCTTATAAAGGTCAAATGCAAACTGACAAAACATGACTGGAAATCTCTGGAGTGTTTTTTGAAAGTGAAATAAGTTCATTTGAAATGTTTGATATTGCGGTGGCTCTTCTCAGCAACAGGGAAATAATAAATGAAAATGTAAAATAGCATTTTATATGCGACAAGGCCTTTTCCACTTCCGAGAGGCTGTTCAGTGCCTCGATGAAATCCAACAGAAGAAACTGACATTTCTCAATTTTTCTTCTGTACGTTGATTTTAAAGATGTTAAGCCAGAGATGGAGCTGGCATCAGACTCCAAACCACGTTAGCCGTGTCGTTTAACTTCTCCCTATTTTCAGAACCCACACTAGAAGAGCTTACATTCCATTTTTAAGCAAACTGAAATGTGTTATTTTCTTCTTCTGATGTTTTTTAGATAACACAGCTGGCATCGTGGCACGTAGGAGTACTTTCACACGCAAAGATCAGACCCAGTACCTGCTACCTGTGGTTGTGGCAGACAGTGGTCCTCCAGGCCTTTCCAGCACTTCCACTTTGACCATTAGGGTCTGCAGCTGTCATCCTACTGGCCACTGTCCCACAGGAGGGGTGGAGGCCCTGGCTCTGAATATGAGCGTCAGCATGCAGACCTTATTAGGGATTCTAGTCTGCCTGGCCTCGGTTACAGGTAAGCTGTGATAGAAATAATAATGTCCAAGAAAGGGTTAAAGATAATGTTCTTGCCTGAGAATAGAGCATTATTATAAACTAAGAAAAAGGATGGATAGTTTAAGAGATTTCTAATCCCTGACAGGAATGTGCTTGGAGTTCCTTCTGAAGTTTCTATTTCAGCTCACAAAAACAAAGAAGTTCACTAAAGATGGAAAAACTTGAAACTCCACGTTCTCGAATGAGAAGTGAGATCTCTTGAGAGACCAAACGGAGAAGCTGAGCTGCATCAACAAGACAGGATTTTTTAATCAAACTGAAAACGAGCGGATTTGCAGGTTGTGATTTCATGTTAGTCACTTGAAAATTCTTGGATATAGTTTAATTAAAATATTTTCTTGCTCCAGAATTTGATTAAATGTCAACAGAAATGTTCAACATCAGAAAAAAAGAGTAAAGCTCTCAGGTAAAAACTGGAAACTGTATTTTTTAAATTTATTTCACTAATGTAAACCTGATTTTACCTAAAAGTTGTAGCAGAAAGGACTTTTTTTGACAACTGGAAATTGTTCACTGAGCCTCTAAAGAGCACATGACACTTTGCTGGGGCTTAAAATGACCCAAGAGCCCAGATATATCCCCATTTCCTTCACGAACACGGCTCAGTCGGGCTAAATTCAGTTCAACTCAGCTCACCTTGGCTGTTTCTCCAGGTTGAAGTGAGGAGCGCTCTTCCTGGGGCCCTCGTCATTGCATGCGGGTGGTTGTCACTCGCTGCACTCACGATTGTTACTCAACACAAAGGGAAGTACAAGGCAATCTGTAAAAAGTCAGGTGATTTTTATGTCACACAAAGATACAACACAGCACAACAATGGTGGTGAAGCAACTTGTTTAGTTTATTTCAAACAAAGAAAACATACAGAAACAATACATATCATCATCCCTTCTTCTCTGTTTGAAAAGGAGTAGGCTGAAGTGGAAACTTATATGTCCCTACCCCTTTATACAAGTAATTTTTACTTGTTTACTAAATCTAACACAAAACCTACATTAAAACAAACAAAATGGTACAAGTCACCAAAAACCACCAAACCATATGGAAAAAAACAAAAAAAAGAAAAAAAAACACATCTTTTTACAATTGATACAATTTACTTTTCCTTAGAATAAAGGACACCCACATAAATCATCTATTTTCCACTATATACTTGTTCAGACAACTAACAACTAACTAACTGTGTTCTGTATGTGGTTAGCGTTAGCAGTAGCGCTGTGTGGTTAGCACTACTGTGGCCAGCGCTTTTACGTGGGTTGAAACGTGCAGATTTAAGGGGGTTCTCTAAGCCTTTGAAGTGGGGATGCACAGATACCGATACTGGTATCGGTGTCGATACCAATACCAGTATCATTATCTGTAAACGTTAACCAATACAATGCAGTTGCTTGAAAAACTTGTCATTTCTGTTCACCTAATATTTTAGTTTTATGATCATTTCTATTCATATATTTTACCTTTTATCTACCTCATAGTCTTTTCCTGCTGAAAGCAGAGAAGAAAATAAAACCTATATTCCAATTCATAGCTATTTTTTTTTTGTGTGGTAGAAGTATCAGTATCGGCGAGTACTCAGATGTTTATGTATATGTATTTAGCAGACGCTTTTGTCCAAAGCGACTTACAAGTGATAATCGGCATGTTGCCCTTGAGGCTAACAACAACAATAACAACAACAGCTTGACATCAGTCATGGAGAGTAGGAGTGGACAGTAGAGAAGGGGGACAGGTGCAGGGAGGGTGCTAGTTTAGAAGGTGCTCTCTGAAGAGCAGGGTCTTCAGGAGTTTCTTGAAAATTGAAAAGGAATCCCCTGTTCTGGTAGTGCTTGGTAGGTCATTCCACATTTGTGGAACGATGCATGAGAAGAGTCTGGATGGTCCGGAGCGTGGTGTAGGCACTGCTAACCGACGATACTGTGATGACCGGAGCGGCCGGGCCGAGACATAAGCCTTTGCAAGAGGATTCAGGTAGATGGGCGTCGTACCATCTCGGATCCACGTATTGGTATCGTATCGGTTTGGAAAAAAGTGGTATTGTTGCATCCCTACTTTGAAGTGTTGAACCTGTTTTACTCAGAAGGAACTGTTTATCCGTGGCCATTACAACATTACTAATTTATGTATGAAGCAGATCGGAGACGGTACCGACTGTTTGCTATGCTACCATAGACACCCCAAGCTGCATTTTCTCCACAAAAACAAAAAATTGATGATGTTTAAAATTTTAGGACCCCTTTAAATATGGACAACTCAAATGTTAAGGAAAATTTAGAACTTCTATGGGTGCAATCTGGAAAACCTCTGTAAAAATACAACCAGCTAAACTCTGACCTTTTTAAAATATTATGCATGGACTACATCCTAAAAAAACATGAAGTATTTAACAAAAACTCACTAAATGCAAATATAATTGATAAAATATCTAAAATGTCCTGTTGTCGCTCCTGTCACTTTTAATTATTTAGTGTTTGCAGATTCAATTAATGAAGATTTTAAAAAAGTTGGTGCTGTTCAGCAAAAGGATGTTTTGTCATATTTTCAAACAATGGAAAACAAAAGGCATAGATCTATGATCCACGCCTACCTTCTGACACATACGTATACTTACGGTATCTCACTCCTATAACCCGAGTTAATTAGAAGTTTCTTTTGAAAATGCAGACAATTTACCTTTCAGTCGGTCCATCTCCTGTTTTTGAAAACCAACACTGCTTTCGTCAGATTGCATAAAGACTTGTGTACAAAGATTTGCAACCATTAGGAGAACATCTGATTGGCTCTGGGTGGAGACATTGAGTAAGTGGAAGCAGTTCTCGCACGAGGACACGATGGGAGACAGCAGGGCCGGATCTGCTTCTTTATTTACACCTGCTGGGCAAGCGTTATTAAAATGTTTAACATGGTGACAGATTAAAGTCCCCATGAGGAGGCATCTCAAGCTGAGTGTCATTTTAAATTAACTTTGACTTTAAAAAACATTGAGAGTCAAATTTGAAGAAAATATCAGTGGATCAAACTCTTCTAGTATAAATAAATGAGAGCAATTTCACTGACTTGTTTACATAAAGCCATTTTTTTCTGCAGATGGGAGATAAAGCACTTCCAACTGACAATGGTTTGGCAAGTATACGAGCGCGTGCTAAACAGCAGGGTTGTTCATTAACAAATTTGCACTTTCGTTCAAATCTGCCTTTTTAAAAACTCACCAGTGTGCCTTTAACACACAATTACAATGCTCAAAGCTTGCAGAGCTATGATGTCAGGTAATGAGTGTACTGGTTGCAATACATCAGTACCAATGCCATCCTGGGACGTTGATGGGCCTGCATAGTGAAGAGCTTTATTATGACCTTAGCTGCTTTGTGTCGTCCCTTTGCCCATCACATGAAAGATTAATGACAAAACCTGCTATGCTAACACTCGGAGAGGGAAAACGCAGCACACAAAGACTGTTGTGCCACATGGAGCAGATTTAAGAATACACATTTAATGTATTTGAGTTGGAATTTAAAAATATATTTTCTATTTCTGGTCGCTGCAACACGTTAAAAATAAAATACAACAAATCTGGTGCCTATTATTGTGAATGCCATTGTAGATTCTACATGTATGCTCCATCGGGCACCGTGTGTCCTTCCTTTCCTCGCCCAGCTCACGCCCCGGTGTTTAACCGTAATGATCCCCTGCTGTGTTGTGTCTGCAGTGCTGTCAGTTCTAATGCTGATGGTGAGGAGACAGCGGCGTAAACAGCAGGAGGAGACGGGTGTGGAGGTGAAGGAGCTGGAGCTGCCGGACGCCGTGTCACAGAAGGTGCTTTACTATGGAGAGAAAGGAGCTGGGCGAGCTGACCTGGACTTCTGCCAGCCCGTCGTCCCCGTGCGGCCCCGTCCAAAGAAGAGGGAGAGGAGGCTACGGCGGGAGGAAGTCAGGGCCAGCATACGAATGTCACTCAGAGAGTCGCACCTCATTGGCCCAGAGGACGAGGTCTTCAGGCAGTTTATTCTGGACAGGCTGGCAGAAGCTGATCAGGATCCTTACGTTCCACCGTTCGACTGCCTTCGGACTTACGCATACGAAGGGTCAGGGTCTCCTGCAGGGTCTCTGAGCTCACTGGACTCTTCATGTTTGGAACTTGAACCTGTGCAACCTGTTAGTAATCCCAGACCCTGCTTAATGAGACTCACACCTTGGTACGGTGGAGTTGTGGAGGACATGATCTTCTAAAAACATTTCATACCGCTCCTCGTTTGGCTTATCTTAGAAAGGGACAAAGACTGGGATATTTAATGTCCAGTAACCACTGAGAAAAAACATTCTGTGAAAAAACAATCTTTTTTAATTAAAGCCGTCACTCCATTTTACTGCATTTCTGAACACTTTGTTTAACCCAATGATAAAGAATCTCCACCCACTTCCTGTCCTGGCCAGCAGTTCCACCATGTTGTGTTTGTTAAAGTCAGAGGCCCAATCCCAATACTCGTCCTTCCACCCTTGTGTCCTTCAATTGCGCGATACCGACCAGGGGTGCGAGTGTTCCGATTCCCAAGTACGGAAGTTGATCACGCCCCTTTTGCGCCCTTGATCCACACTTCATCAAAGTCTGCACGTTGCTGAAGACAAAAACGGGCATACTTGCTCACCCAGCGTTGACTCCAGTTGGGTTTTGAGAGTGAGGAACCCACCCAATATGGCGGCGACGCTGTCACGCGCTCCAGCGCCCAATGGGATGTCTATGTATAGGGAGCCTAAGTAATTTCCGCATCATGGGTCCCCGGAAGAACGAACAAATTAATGCAAGTCAACGGGGCTAAAAACGCTATTTTCGAATCCGCTTTGCCGTACACCCTGGATCACACATGTTGTACTGCAATTTAAATGAAAAGTAATGATGGGTGTTCCAACCACGCCAGCCACGCACTTTGAGATTTATCAGCTTGTAAAAGTTCGTAATTAGCATGACTACAAACTAGAAATCGGCACGTTGCACGTCACCACACAATCTCCTCTCCTCTAGCGTAGCTGCTACTTACCAAATGATCAGATTTATGGTGGTTCTTTCCTCCTGTGGGAAGTTTGCTGAACTTACAGCCCTTTTCCCTCAGTTTTCTCCTCGTCTGGTTCGATGATGTCACTTTCGTAAAGCATATTTGTAGTCCTGGACTTAATTTCACACCAAACCTAAAATATCGTTCCCCGCCCGTTCGAAAATAAGCACGTTCTTGGTATCAAAATGTGTCTTTAAAATTCATGGACATCATGTGAAATCCATGGCACAAAACAAGCAGAATTAGAAAATAGCGTTTTTAGCCCCGTTGACTTGCATTCATTTTTTCGTTCTTCCGGGGACCCATGGTGCGGAAGTGACTTAGGCTCCCTTTCAGAAATGAAAGCCCGACCTACTCCCCCACAAAGAATCCTGCTGTATTTTATGTATCACATTTAATATAATAATTTATAATATTAAAGAAAGACTACTGTCTTGATACATTTTTAGGTGGTATAGTTTTCTAATGTGGACATTAGCGGCAGTTCTAGCTCCTTAGCTGTAGGTCTCTCAGCTTAACATGCATCATTCTCACTGGGCATTTGCTGGTAATGTAAACGTTTATAACGGAGCTTTTGTAACCCTAACCATGACATTTTTAAGATGGCTCCGCTATAGCGATTAGTTAGCTAACCCTCCTAATCACAATTACTCTTTGTTGTTCAAACAAGTAAATATAATATTTGGGCATCACTTCTAAATTATCTAAACTGTTGCTTTAATTCTTATATTGATTGTTTAGGTGAATATTTTCTAATTGGCAGGGACCTCTTAAAGACCAAAGGTGACAGATCATTTGCTGCTGTGGCCCCCAGACTCTGGAGCTCTCTACCCCGAGCCTGAGATCAGTGGACTCAGTGGTCTCCTTTAACCCTCTGATGCATGAATTATGAGATCTTCAGCCGTGATTTTTTAAACAATTTTTTTCATCCATCTTTAGGTGTGAATGAAACAAATTTCAACAAATATTTTTTGTAACATTTTGTTAATTTACAAATAATTTATTACATGTCCATCTCAGTGGACAACGTGCATTCTGAACATGAAATATGGTGGCTTGACTTACTTAAGTCCAAATGGAGGGGCTCACATGCAATAAAGTCTTCAAAAGCTGTGCTTAATAGCAAAAATAAAGTAATAACAATTTTGAGTACCTGTCCACTGTAGTGACCATTATGCATCAAAGGGTTAAAAAGCAGCTGAAACTCACCTGTTCAGGCTGGCTTTTTTGTGGCCTTCATCACCACCCTCTCCTTATTCTGCTCTTATTCCACCTTTCCCGTGATCCATTGATTTCCCTCTTTCCTATTCATTTTCTTTCTCCCTTTCCATACATGTTTTAGTTCTTTTTATTCCCTTTTGAACATGTTTGAATCATTTTTAAAATCTTTTTATCCTTGAATTTTTATGTTTTTATTTTAATTCCGTTTTTGTGAAGCGCCTTGAGATTCTTATCTCAAGAGGTGCTATTTAAAAGATTGCCTTCTTCCTACTGTACCATTTTCATCTGAACCCCTAAAAAAACGGACTTATAGTTCCAAAACCTGCAGTTTGCATCAGTTCTACAGTGAAAAACCAAATATGTTTTTTCCCATGAACCTTTCTGAGATGCATTTATCTTTCCTACTTTAGGGAAGCAGATCAAACAGAACCAAAAAAAACCTGATTAAAAGTTCTTAAAATAAACATGTTTGCAGCTGTTTTTTTTTTACACATTAAAAAGTCATGGAGCAGCATAATCATTCACACGCTGTCAGGCCTGCACCATTACGACTGTGTTGTTCTCCAACTCTTGAGAGAATTCTTTAGTGCTCCTTAGCCTATTAGCTTTGAGACTGTGTTGAGCTTGAAGCCTTTTTTGCCTGTTATGTAGCGCTGAGCAGCAAGTGCACAGTGGCTTCACTGTTCCAGCTTTTGCTGAAAGACTCCCTGCTGTAGCTGAAAAATAGGCTGTTGAGAACAGTCTGAAGTGCTTTTTAAGCAGAGGTGATGCCACTTTATTTTTTCCCATCCTAATATATAACGTATTTGTTGCTGTTAAAATATTGTTTTATGCAGTCTATACAGATATGTTCTCCTGTTGCACTGTAACAGTGAGGAAGCCTGATACTGGAGAATGCTACTGTGTCATGTGACAGCATTAACTGTGGTTAGGTGCATACTCTTTAATGTTACTGTTGAAAATAAACATTTTATACATTTTCATATCTGGATATTATGAGTCTGAGTTTTATATGAATTTGTGTTTATGAAAAATGACTAAAGTTGTTTTTCAATGAGCTGCAACCATTGACAAATATGAAAACTCTGGAATTAGTAAAAACGAAAGTGAAATGTATCTCTTTGTTGAGCGTTCGTCTTTTTAACACATTAAACTAACAGCTGAAACGTCTCCATTAGTGTCTACAAGAGCGGTGAATCACCAAATCAAACGAATCAGCTGTGATCACGATCCAAAACATGCAGGAAACGTAGCTCCACTTTGCTAAGTCCAAAAGGGACCGGAACAGCACTCTGAAGTTGCAAGTGCGATATTCTGGTCATAGGGGGCGGTAGGGGTCTGAGTGACACTTCATTAACCCTATAATGGGTGATTTTAGCACATACTGGCTCAAGAAACTGATTTAAAATAAAGAACAAAATTGCACTGTATTCCTTTATTTCTGATTAGCACTTTACAGAATTAGTTGTATTCTAGTGAGGTGGCGTTTTTGTGCCGTAATACATACTGTAAAGCGCACACATTGTGAAAAGCATTTTTCTATGTATGGCCAGTCCCAAAGCAAATGTATGCCGCCATTAAATTTCTATTTTATTTGGACTTGCTATGACCTCCTTACTTAACTGCTATAAGAGAATTTGTTATCTGTCAAAAGTCATTTTGTTGACGCAAAAAATAATAAAAACACGCTAAACTTTCTATGTAAAAGTTCTTTGTGAATCAAATTGTATTATTAATATACACCTAAGCCCACATATAAACGGTTTCATCATATATCATATCATTTCTCGCAAATTTTCTAAAGCTGGGTGACACTTGGCTGCAAGGTGGAGAACTTGATAGCACTGTCACCTAGCAATGAGGAGGTTGCAGGTTTGAATCCTGACTGCAGCCTTTCTGAGTGGAGTTGAAATGTTCTCCTCATGCATGTTTGAGTCTTCCCCAGATTTTCGGCTTTGTCGCACACTAAAAACACGCATGTTAGTTTAATTGGGGAGCCCAAATTGTCCCAAGATGTGAGTGTGTTTGTGAATGGTCGTCTTTGTGTGTCCCCATGATGAACTGGAGACTTATCCTGGGTGTCTCCCAGCTCCCTGAGAACTTATGGAGGAACAGTGGTTCAGAAAAGCCTGCAGTTGCAGATAAAATGTTAAAAACAGAGCTTCTCATCATATATCAAGCCTTTAACATGTTTTGTTCAGAATAATGTACCTTTTCTGAGAAAATAACCCACCACTCGGGTTAAACAGACACCAATCAAGAGGGCACGTAGCCAGCAGGCTTCATAACTTCCTGCAAATTAAGGTTGGAAAAGAAGAGAAGTTGACGGAGACGTGATTTATAGAAAACTGTCAAGAACTGATCGAAGCAAGGTGGGCTACGTACAAGAGATAATGGTGTCTCTTCTTCTTCACGGTCATTAGACAAACAGTACATGCAGTAGTGTGGGCGGTTGCTTGTGGGATGACTCACAGTAATTGTGAGGTGATCTGGGCCAGCCCCTCCTTCACCTTCTCATCCACTAATTGGGCTGTTTGTTGGCTGCGAAGGTCAGAACTTGAACCAAGGAGAAAACAGTTCTAACTGAAGGGGAAAAAATAATACATAAGCTTGTTCTGAAGGGAAGAAATGAAATAAGAGACAAAGTGAAGGAAGCAACTAATTGTGAGGATTTATTTGGCGTTTCCCTGCAGTGGGTGCTCGTACGAGCTCTACAACACTCAGCAGGAACATTTGCAGACAACCCAGAAACTCAAAGTGAGCTCCAAATGGCTTCCACTGTTGGAAACGATTTATTCGGCCAGAGCTTTTTAGACTAAATTATTGCCTCACAATGGCTTCTAAAGACACAGGTGTTCACACTCTCCAAAAGTCCTTTTCAAACCAATCATCACCATCCAACATGCTTTGGACTTGCCCACAAAAGCCCCGTTATAATTCTCTGTTCAATAGCACCTTAATGTCAAAAGTCATTCAGCTACTGGTGTCATTTAACCTTCTGAATTTCTGCCATTATCCACGGTGAATATTACGGGCAATTTAACCTAACAGCCCCTTTCTTTGTGTAATTATACTCATTAAGCCAACATGAAGGATTTCACTCCGTCAACTGTCTCTGTCCCTGACTCTCAGAGATTTTTAGATTCAGCTCCTTATTTTTTTGTCAAACCCAGAGCCGTGCTCATCGCACGGCGCCACAGCAGACACCAGAGGCTCTTTAAGAGAGACTCATTTGCCAGAGAGTGAGTTGATTGAAAAGATGCCTGAAAGGATTTTGAGAGCCATTTTTTCCCTTCATTAGCAGCATGTATGCCTTGAGGTTTGGCTGAACAGGAAAGGAAATGATTCATATGCGACTTGGTAATGTGAAGATAGCTATAGAAAATTAAATACGTCAGAGTTTTAAAACACTGGTTTAGTGGATGTGTCTACTATAACTATAATAATAATAATAATAATAATAATAATAATAATAATAATAATAATAATAATAATTATTATTATTATTATTATTATTATTATTATTATTATTTTATTATTATTATTTTATTATTATTATTATTATTATTTTTGAGTGAAGGTTAGCATAAATCACTACAAAATACCATACAGGCGATATTTAAACACAGGTGGGGCTAGAACAGCACAGAAAACAATCTTGAGGACTTTTAAGCTCCAGTTTGAAAGTCTGTTTCAAAATAAAATAGCTGGTTTATGATATTTTATTTTGGTGAGTGATAGACTGCACTTATTCTGATTTCTGTGTGCGTTAGTCTTAGCTCTAAGGCTATGTAACATACAGTAAATTCAGCTTTAATAAGCTTTATTCCTGGAATTTATTTATTATCATCATCATTAAATTGAAGTTGGACAGATGACTTGAAAATGACTTGAAAATTCAAAGTTAAGCACTTGACTTGGACTTCCACATCATTGACTTTGGACTCGACTTGGACTTGGCTGTCTTTGACTTGGACTTGACTTGAGACTTGGCTAGAAAGACTTGTGACTTACTTGTGACTTGCAAAGCAGTGACTTGGTCACACCTCTCCAAATTAGTGACAAAACCACTTACAACTGAAGAACACAGGACACCCATCTATCAGCAAGAAGCGCCTCGTGATTTTTTTTATCTTGAGAGGCGCTATAGAAATGATATTTTCTTCTTCTTCTTCTCGTGTTTTAGGAAGATTAGATGAATGGGTCCAGCCAGCATAGGTGGGACACATATGAATATATATGGGCAAACTGTATGGGTGCCACTTGGGTTTGTCTGCGGTTTCCATGGTGGCTCCACACGTGTTCACCCACAAGGATCTTTGCCCACATAGATATCAACAGGCCCTATGTGAGTTTATCCAGATGGTTTGATTCAGTTATGGGTGGACAACCCCCAGAGAGGCCACCATGTAAACCATGGACAAACCCTGTTGGCACCTTACAGTTCGCCCATATATATATATATATATATATATATATATATATATATATATATATATATATATATATATATATATATATGAGGCCTGCCTATGTACATTGCCTGGGGTTTGAGGGAAAACAAGAGAAAAACTACATTAAATAGAGATGGAAGACTCATTCTCCAAACTGCTTGTCCTGTCTACAGTCATGGGGAGCTGTTG